GTTACATGTTTGATGTGTCCTTAAACATGACGCTGAACAAAACAAACTGTGATTAGTTGCTTTGCATGTCAGTCAGACGGCCTCTTTGTGTTTCTTGGCCAATGAAAGCTGCGATAGAGTCCAGACCTTCTATAAAGACGAACTATAATGCATTTAATAAATCGAAGCTCAATATAGATATGAATATCATTACTGGTTGAAACACACTGGTAAGAATGAGGCCAGCATGCTCGTGGAAAAATCATTATTTATTATTCAGGTACTACATTTGTAAAAGGAAAATATGTTTTTATATGCAAATTTTACTCAATTCAACATTTGAGATAAATGGCCTTACGCTTAACAGCCGTAAAATAATTCTCTGCTGGTGTGCGGTACCGGAAACGCCTGATCCATAATAAGCAGTTTTGCTTCAACTCATCCTCTTTAAAGTACCACCTCAACAGCCGCTTGTGTAACAAACTCGATGCCTTCAACAATAAATTTCAAAGACAATCACGGTCAGACTTCAAATCGCCTGCTGTGAGCAAAGTTCCTGTTATTATGCAGAATCCACATGTTGATTTGTGAGGTGTTGTTGACAGATTAAAGGACAGTATTTCTCTAAAGTCTGTTGTTTATTCTTTATAATGTGCTCCCGAGTGTCTGTCAGAACAGACATATTTACAGTAGGAAAAAGGGATAACACACAGCTGGGCTTCAATTAGATGTTTTGCATGCATATTTTCTAGTCTAACAATCGAGAATTTATGAATGCAGAGTCCAAACAGCCAGATTTTTTTTTAAAAAAACCATTTCATTTCATGATTATATGTGGGCTTTGAAATAGTTACAGTAATTTCGACCAAGGGCCAGATTTACTAAACTTTTTTATTTGATATTCCACAAATTCTTCAATAAAACGTGTTTCTTACCTGCATTAATGTCATTGTAATATTTCTTGATCACAACAGTTTTGTATCACTACCCCAAGAAGTGGGTCAAATTGACCCGTATTCATTTCCTATGGAATTTTGACAACAGTATTTTTCTCAATAATATTTATTTTCTTTAACTTTATGGCTAACTTAAAAAACTGACTTTTTTTTTTTTGCTCTGAGCCAAGAATTTGACCCCGTGTCTGATACTATAATATACTGTATAGTAGGTGAAAAGCAGTGTGTAAACTGAGTATTATGTCAAAATTACAGTGTAGACAGCCTCAAGAAGCTGTGGCGCATGTTAAAAAATGCTCCACTTTGTTATAAGCGAGACACTCGTATTTTCTGCAGACAGAGTGTTCGCCTATTCAATTGCTCCCTTGTAGTCTACTCACAGTAACCTAGACTTTTTATTGCAACTAGCTTATTTTTACCTAGTGAGACATGCTTTCATAAGCACCAAAAATTGTGATTTATGTCCATTTAAACATGTCTTAAAGGATTAGTTCACCCAAAAATGAAAATTCTGTCAGTATTTACTCACCCTCATGTTGTTCCAACCCCGTAAGACCTTCGTTCATCTTCGCAACACAAATTAAGATATTTAAGATATTAAGATCGCTCCTGCATACAGTCCATAGGCTTCTTGAGGGAATGAAACTTGCTGGCATCGAAAAGTCATTAAAGACATCGTTAAAATAGTCCAAGTGACGACAGGGGCTCAATCTTAAGTTTATCAAACGACGAGAACACTTTGTGTGCGCCAAAACAACAAAAATAACGACTTTATTTCAACTATTCGTTTATTTCTCTCTCCGCTTCGAATCAGGTTACTAGTTTAATAGCGTAAGCTTCTGTTATTGTACGTCACACGCATCACACACATGACCAGCGACGGCCAATAGTGAGCCTTCGTGTGACGTAGCTCTACGCAATCACACTACGTTAACTGACTACAGGTCCATGGAGAAGGAAGTAAATATTTGAAATAAAATCGTTATTTTTGTTTGTTTTGGCGCACAAAAAGTGTTCTCGTCGTTTGATAAAGTTAAAATTGAGCCACTGTAGTCACTTGGACTATTTTAACGATGTCTTTAATGACTTTTCGATGCCAGCAAGAGTCATTCCCTCAAGAAGTCTATGGACTAGTATACAGGAGTGATCTTAATATCTTAAATATCTTAATTTGTGTCCGAAGATGAACGAAGGTCTTACGGGGTTGGAACAACATGAGGGTGAGTAAATACTGACAGAATTTTCATTTTTGGGTGAACTAACCCTTTAATTGAGCACTAATAAGGTACCTGATGTGTGAGGGGAATGCCCTTCCTCCAGTACTCCAGCCAGTCTTTCACTGGATGTTCCCAGCACACCGATGGGCAGGGCCTGGTCACCCGAGGCCAGATCCGCTTCCGGCTCCTCGCTCAAAGGAAACGCAATGTCACTCACCGGCTCCTCTTTAACCTTTAAGGGTTTGGAGTCCTCCAGAGCCTTTTCTGGATTCACGAGTCTCTCGTACTCTTCTGAGAGCTCCTTACTGACCTACAGTCAAAGCGATGTCAATAAAAGCTGCATGTACAGTCAAGCTGAAATAACACTGGAGATGTCTCACCTGCAGCATGTAGCTGTGGTAATCTTTGATGCGGACCTGCCAGAAGCGCTGGAGCGCCAGGACGCTGCCGATGCCCACCTCATGAAACACCTGTTCCACCACATCAGGGAAAGGTGTAGCGCCCCGACAGGCCTCTCTATCAACAGCCACGCGCAGCAACTTGGTGAGCCGCAGGTAGTGTTCGTGAACCAAATCGGTCAAAGTCTCCAACACGCTCTCATTGGCCGACTCGAAACCAGCGTGGGCGAGCACCGTGGCGACCGACTGGTACAGAAGCTGACGGCAGGACGGCCAGCTCAACTCAGTGACTGGCTCACCTTTACCTCTGAAAGGAGGGAAATGAGGAGAAGTTTGGAAAACAGGCGAAGAATAGAGGGGACACCAATTAGGAATCACATGACAATAAAGTTTGGATCTTTTCTAAATAAACTCAAAAGAGTTTTGTTTTTTGATTAGCTGATGAGTCTACAGAATAGTTTCATCAAGACGAATGTAAATGTGGGCTTTGAGATTGTAGGCCTTACAGACAATCAAGAGTCAAGAATGTAGAACAGTGAGAAAAAAAAAGTGATATATTTTGCCCAATATACAAAGTAAGGGGATTTTTTTTTTTTTTTTTAAACATTATGAATTAATATTTAACTCTAAATAGCTTAAATAAATTAATATTAGGCTCTGGCTAGTTGCATCACATGAGATTAACTAAGCTTGCATAATAAATTAACTGAAATTTTAAGAGACTTATTGATCTAGACACTCTCTATGAAATCATTTCCTGATTTAAGTTTTGCTACATTATTTGTTTTCTGCATAAGTTCTCATTTAATGAATCTCATTCTTTTAATGAGGCTTTTTACTTCATTATGATAGCAGGCAAGTAGCATCACCCTGACATTTATACTTTATGCCCCCATCAAATATCATTCAAAGTTAATTTTAATGCAGACGTGTTACTGTTCACCCTACAAGAGTCGCAAGTGTGAGTTTAATTTTAATGGACCTTTAACATATTTTTATGAAAAAACAATGATTGATATACATGATGATCTACTGGCGTACTTGTAGAAGTCGCTCTCTGGGTCACTATGGCGTAGCTGGAATGGATGTCGAGGAGCTTTACTATCCAGTGGAAGCAGATCATCAGGTACAGTGGGTGTGATGGGGCAAGGAGGTAGAGCATCCACATCCTCAGGTTTGAAGACACCCTGGGTATCTAGTAATGTGGGCAGAGGCTGCTGGCCCTGCTGGGCAGCAGCGATGAGACTCCGGAGACGACGGGCATGCTGGCTCAGCTGCACGGTGTGGATTGTGAGGCTGCAGGGCTCTGAGGGGATGTCCAGCATGGTGGTGGGACGTGGGCGCTGGGCAGAAGGTTGGTGCAGGGGAGGGTCCTGCATCTCCACCTGGCGGAACTCGCGCTGCAGAAGGTCAAAAGAACTGCGGCCCGAGGGAGCCGAAGCCACTGGGAGCTCGCCCCAATAACGCATCATCTTCACACAGTGTTGCTTTTGGCAGTGGCACAATTCTTGAGGACAATCTGAAACGCAAGTGAGCAAGCAATTTTATTTTATAGCACAATTTCAAACAACAGATGTTGTCCCAAAGTGCTTTACAGCATGATATTAAAACCAACCGTTACTGATAAACGGTTGTTGATGTATAAACAATGATGTATACATATTGTATCAATAATATGTACACATCATTGTAGTGTTTGTTGCACTGCCTTCATTTTATGCAAATTGTACAAATAAAAAAAATAAGTATATTGAAACCATCAATGGTTCTCGTTAGACTGTCAGACAGTCACAAAAAAACTCAACAGTAAAAGGAAAAATATATATAAGTTAATGGTCCTAAAAATATGAATAATTTTACTTTATGATTTTTTTTCTTTTGGATATGTTCTTCATGAGATTCCCTTTCAGTACTAAAAGATTACAGTAATTTCAATACTGATATACTATAATATGCACATAACACGTTGTATTTATTTATATTTACAAACTTTCATGTATTTAAAGACTTTTTGAATTGACACTACACAACACTAGACGTCATGTAGACTCTAATGTTTAATGTTACAATTATAAAGCCTACTCATCCAAAAACAAACTGCTTGCTTTACCTTTTATGAGCAGATGATCATCATAACGATGAAAAATAGCAAAATAATGCAAAATATATAATTTATTTTCAGTTTCGACAAAAAAAAACATATAACCGACTACTAGCGGCTGCTAGGTACAACACTAAAATATTTCCGTGGAAAATGTAAATAGTTCCTAGACATTGGAGATAAAAGGTCAGAATTTAATATGTTAAATTGAACATATACGTGACAGATAATTAGTATACATCCACATTAACATATTCTGATAGATTAATTGTTATGAACAAAATAAGAATTTTTAATAAGAATATTATTAACTCAAGAGTAAAGGAACGGAATCATTAAAGTGTTACACCAAACACACCATGTCGGATACTGAACACGCGATGGAGTCTGAACGCAGCGGGCAAATAGAAAATAATCAAACTGAAATAGAAACAGAGAAGAGTTTGGACCCCACCTGTGATACCAAACAGGACATCACCAGCAATAATGAAAACACAGATGATCCTTTTAAGAAACCTGTTATTTTCGCGGCTCCATCTCTCACTGTGAGGAAACCAGGAGGATCAAACTCAACCAAGAAACTCACTGAAGAATCAAGATTAGAGAATAACGACACACATCTTAATACTAAACACCAGCCGACAGACACTCAAACAGACCCATCCGATCATCCATCATCCGAGAGAGCTGAGGCACAGAAGGTGGGTTATTGACATACAAAAATCATTTACAATCAATGTGTTTTTAAACCAATTTTTGTTGTTAAATAACATGTCAAAGTGTTCAAAATCATATTTTGGCTATTTTTATGTCAGGCGGTATAACCAAATATTAGTATGTATGTGTACTGTTAGTTGTACCATCTGACATATAACGTTAAAGTGTAACTTGCCAACCTTCCCATACTTGAAATGAGTAGTTTTTACCAGGATTTGAGAGAGATGTACTAACCTTTTCATTCTGCCTCTGGATGATGCGTTATCATGTTTAATGTTACCTTGACAAATCGTAATAAGAGCTATCTTTGCAGTTGTGTCACCTTGACACTCGAGAACATACAAAAAGGTGTTCAATTATCTCAACAGCTTTAATACTACTGATATTTTAAAAATGTGTTTGGTTTAAAGCCTAAAATGATGCTATAGCATTTAGTTTTCAATGTTTTTGTCATAAGGATACCATATTAAATAGTTCAATGAATCTGTTCATTGATTCAGACAGTTGCACCACCTGACATATTGGGGGTTTAACGAAACATAAAAATTACATGCATTATTTAAATATACTAAAATGAGTTCAAACTAAATAGGTTTTATAGAATAAAGTCATATAGTACCGGTCAAAAGTTTTTGAAAGAAGTTTCTAATGCTAATTTATTTGATCTCAAATAAGAAGAAAAACAGTAATATTGTGAAATATTCTTACAATTTCAAATAATGGTTATCTATTTTAATGTACTGCTTTCAAATATAATTTATTCCTGTGATGCAAATCTGATCACTCCAGTCTTCAGTGTCACATGATCCTTCAGAAATCATTCCAATATGCTGGTTTATTATCAATGTTGTAAACAGTTTATACAATTAGTTTAGAAGGAAATAATGCACTTGGACACGAAAAGATGCATGTCATGTCATTGACCCAGGTCCAGCCCAAACCAAAAGACATCAGACCCAAGATCACTGCCAAACTCCCTCCGGCGGGCAAGTTTCCTCCTGTCCCGTACACCGAGCCGCCGTGGGGATCTGTTCCTGACATCAGCTACTCGTTCGAGCTGCTGAAAAACGGGGCGATACTAGACGCGGTCCCGCTGACCCAGAGGAGTTACTTCGTGGTGGGTCGGCTGCCGGTGTGTGACGTGTCTCTGGAGCATCCGTCCATCTCCCGCTATCACGCTGTGGTTCAGTACCGGGGCACAGCCGGGCAGGACGGGGGCCTGGGAGAGGACAGAGGCTTCTATGCCTATGATCTGGGCAGCACTCATGGCACTTTTGTGAATAAGAACAAAATACCCCCTAAAACATACATAAGGCTACGAGTGGGGCATGTTTTAAAGTTCGGGGGAAGCACGAGACTCTTTATTCTGCAGGTATGTATTTCTCAAAGGGATTGTTCACCCAAAAAGGAAAATCATTCACTCACACTCAAGTTGTTCCAAACCTGTATGAGTTTTTTCTTCTGCTGAACACAAATTAGATATTTTGATGAATGTCAGTAAAATCAATGGGGCATCAACTGTTTGGGATAGCTAAAAAATATTTGAAAAGCTCTTACACTGTTTTAAAAAAAATCATAGATATTTGTTTTAAGGGTTATTGGTCTACTACGATATGATACTGAATGATTACCAGATTAATTCACCAAGGTATTGACATCTTACTTGTTCATAATGGTATTTTCTGTGGCTTTACAATAGTAACTTTCCACCAGAAACTGTAGTTACCAATATTATATTATATTTTTGTAACCAAAAGTCAAGCAGTTAATTACGGAGGCGTATTGCATTCACTTGAAGAAAAAAAAATCTACTCTGTTTTTCTGAATTAACGAGTTAATTTTTCATGGAATTTTTTTTTTTTTGCTCTGTTTTTCTGAATTAATGAGTTAATATTTCATGAGAAAAAAATATTTTGCTCTGTTTTTCTGAATTAATGAGTTAATTTTTCATGGATTTTTTTTTTTTTTGCTCTGTTTTTCTGAATTAACGAGTTAATTCAGAAAAAACAGAGCAAAAACTTTTTTTTCTCACGAAAAATTAACTCATTAATTCAGAAAAACAGAGAAAAAAATATTTTCTCATGAAAAATTAACTCATTAATTCAGAAAAACAGAGCAAAAAAATTCTCATGAAAAATTAACTCGTTAATTCAGAAAAACAGAGAAAAAAAAATTTTCTCATGAAAAATTAACTCATTAATTTTAGAAAAACAGAGAAAAAAAAATTTCTCATGAAAAATTAACTCATTAATTCAGAAAAACAGAGCAATTTTTTTTTCTCATGAAAAATTAACTCATTCATTCAGAAAAACAGAGTAGATTTTTTTTCTTCAAGTGATTGCAATACGCCTCCGTAGTTAATAAAGTTCTGAAATGTTTTTATTTTATTTGCATGTGCACCAACTAACTAATGATTGGTTGCCTGATAATTATAATATTGTTTTTAGAGGTAGACCGATTAATCGGTCGGCCGTTTTTTGGCATTTTTTAATATAATCGGCATCGGCCAATATCCAAGTATATTAAGCCGATTATTGCGGAACACGTGTTTGATGCACGCTGCCGCTAGAGTCATTTTCCAACCGAGTGAGCAGCAGACCTAAATATGAACGCATTCATGAACTATCGTGCGGGATGCCGTTGTCTAAAGAACAACAGACGGACGGTGCGTTGTGGTGCATTTAAAGTTTTTGTAAAATATCATTTTCCCATCTGGTGGTTGTTTTTGTCGTTCAACAGCAATTTACTAGTGAAATATGTTATTGTTAGAAGTTAAATTAAATAAAATATAATAAATCTTATATAAAAAAAAATTAAATAATTTAAAGTTTCATTTAAAGTTAAATTGTGTCCATTTGTCTTTGTCCGTCAAAAAAAAAAAAAAACATGTTTCCGGACATTTTTTTAGAGGATAAAATGTTTTTGTTGAGAAAATTTGTTTATGTTATGTAATTATCATTTCTTTTACATTTTATCTTTCAAATAGTGGTTAAAAACCAAGCAAATATCGTCCAAAATAAATCGGCAGCATTAATCGGCCGACCCGGATTTCAAAAGATCGGCATCGGCATGAAAAAAAATGTATCGGTCGACCTCTAATTGTTTTATTTCCATTAGTTTTAGTTAAGCAAATAAAATGTTACCAATATTCATAATAGATTTATCTCATGCTCATATTGCTCGAACATCAATTATACCAGATTACGTGTTTCCCCAGGGTCCAGAGTTTGACGAAGAAGCAGAATCTGAACTGACGGTGACGGAGCTCAGAGAACGTGCTAGAAAACAGAAAGAAGCGCTGGAGAAGAGGATGCTGGGTGATGGCTCAGATGAGGAGGACGAGAAAGAGGAGAGTGAACCCAGTGCTACAACGAGAAGCTCCTCAGAAGATACTGGCTGCTCGTGGGGAATGGGTAACTAAGATTCTCAATCCATTATAACTGCCCGCCTGTTTGTTGTGAACGTAACACTTTGTCTTTGTTGTGTTCAGATGAAGAGGCAGTGCCGGAAGAGGACGAGAATGAGGAGAATCCATTTGCCACAGAATTCCAGGAGGATCAGGAAGCGGCTTACTTAAAAGATCCTAAAAAGGCCTTACAGGGCTTCTATGATAGAGAAGGTAAAATATTAACTTAAAGGGATACTCCGCTTTTTTGGGAAATAGGCTCATTTAACAACTCCCTCAGAGTTAAACATTTGGGTTTTACCGTTTTCGAATCCATTCAGTCGATTTTCGGATATTAGAAGAATATCAGTAACCAGACAGTTTCTGGTCTCGTCGACTTTCTATAAAAATATACTATGGAAGTCAATGAGACCAGAAACTGTGTGGTTACTGATATTCCTCTAAATGTCAGAAAATCGACTGAATGGATTTGAAAACGGTAAAACGTCAACTGTTTAACTCCGGGGGAGTTGTAAAATGAGCCTATTTCCCAAAAAAGTGGAGTATCCCTTTAAGTTAGATTAACAACATGACTTTCAACTTTAAACGGAAAAACGTTCGTTTTCACGACTGCCACATTTTGCAGGCCTGGACGAGTTGCAAGTAGGGCTGCACCCCTGATATTGAAGAAAAATGCGATATGTGATCGCATTCTTCGTATTTCACATTCTTTTTGTGACATTGGAATATTGCTTGATGTTGTAACGTAGCGTTATAGGCAGAATGAGCTTTAACACGGTGTCTAAACAGGACGCAGCCGATATTGCTCGCGTCGCAACAGCTGTTTAGCCTATAGACGCAAAAATAAAAACGTTTAACACGGATTGTTTTGACAACGTTGTTGCCTGTCCTCAAAAGCACGCAAAGGAAAACCGTTTCCTTTTTTAGTGCATCGTTGTTGTGTAAATGTACCCTTAAATGTTATACATTTCTGTACACGCACACATCCGTGGATTTAAAGTTCCCATGAAGTCAAAATTGACCATACTTACTTTGTTTGCCTAAATTGATTGTTTTGTGGTGAACAATTCATACATGCAAGTCAATCCACACACAAAACATTTTTTTGGCTTTGTAATCTTTAATCAAATTTTGAAAATGCCCCTCCCCTTTGCATTGGAGGACCGATGACGTAGGCTTTACGGTTTGGGTGTCTCCTTAACATCCATAACCACGCCCCTCCAACTGACAGCTGCTGTGTGTTTGCGAGCGCAGAGCGAGCATTGATTGACAGCGTGTGTAAACTTGCGTCATCCTCCATTTCAGAATGAAACACCCCTTTTTCTAGATCCAATCAGGTGCTAGTTGGAAAAAAAAAGCCACGCCCACTATTTTGCCTCATTTAGTATTCCGTTTCTCTCGGAAATACGTCACAACACTGGAGAAAAGTCGTTTGCAACTTCCGGTTCATGGGAACTTTAACTGTTTATTTTCATTGCAGGAGAAGAACTAGAGTTTGAATATGAAGAGAAAGGCCACGGCTCTTGGCTCTGCAGAATTAAGTAAGCACTTCATTTCTATTTGTAGCCAAACCACATTTGTACCTTTTTTGGTTTTATAGCAGTTTAGCACCAGCTCAGTGTTCAGTGGCTAGATAATTTTCCACAGACGTGATCATTTATTTGGATATTGATGTGTGTTTTAGGTTGCCGGTGGATGATGCCATGGGCAGACAGCTGATGTCTGAGGTGACGCTCACAGGGAAGAAGAAAGACGCTGCCGTCCAGTGCTGTTTAGAGGCCTGCCGGATCCTGGAGGCTCGAGGTCTTCTGAGACAGGAAGCAGGTACGCATCGCCAAAGCAGGTTCATGACTGTGCTCAGACTCATAGATCTGTCAAATAAACCATATGTTAAAAAATGACCATGTTAGTTGGTCCATTTCAACTGTTATCACACATCTTCCAAAATTTGCAAAATAGGGAAGTGGGCTGTTTATTTCAATAACATTTACTAATTTTGTGTAGCTTTAAAGAGCCTATATTTAGCCTGATTGTGGACTGTCTCTCAGAAGACACACTATAGACCATTTTGCACGATGTAAACAACACTGGTCCAGAAGCACTTTTTAACACTACATAAAAGCTGGGATAAAATACCAACAGAACATATAAAAATGAATCAAAAAGTTAAACAAACATCTTTAAGATTGTTTCTTTACATGTGAAATAAAGAAAACAGGAAGTGCTTCTGGACCAGTGTTGTTTACATCTTGTGAAATGGTCTATATTATTATTACATCTTCCAGAGGCTCAGATTGTTGTTGTTGTTTTTTTTTTGTTTGTTTGTTTTTCTTCTTCTTCATGTAATCACATTGTTAAGAGCTTAAGAAACTAATTATTATTATTATTAGTCTTTTTTTAAATTACGTTGATATCTGAATTTATCTAAAATCCTAGACTTTCAAACAACAAAATGTAATTTATTAATATGTATTCTTGTACAAAATGACATTAACATCGTTTCCTATTGGGTTTTTTTGCCTGGAAACGCTTCCAACACGCTTGCGTGTTGCGTGAAAAATGGGCGTCGATTCTATTTCTAGCATGCACGCTATTTCCGCGCGGCTCATGCAGGTTCATGACTGGACTCAGACTCATGGAGCTGTCAAATAAACCATTTGTTAAAAAAAATTACCGTGTTAGTTGATCATTTTCTGTCATTTTATTATCGTCATTCGATTTATTCTATGATTTTGTATTTTGAATGAAATTTTGTAACTAGACTTTAGAATAGTTTTGCAATATGATTAGTCATTTGTATATTTAAACCGTTACCCTTTTAAAATGTTGTCGGTTTTGAATTATTGATCTATTTAATAATAATGTTTTGTTGTTATAATTTAGTGTATATAATGACAGTTCAATCATGCCAACTCTCTGAATAATTGTAGCATGTTTTTGAGTAATGATAATCTTAATGTATTTGGTTTTGGTAACTTTTGATATTTTGCAGAGTAAATATGGGCAAGTGTGGGAATCAATACTGAAACATCTATACGGTTATAATTAATTTCTGCTGCATGGATACTAGTGTTGGGCGATATGCTCCATTTTTATATCGTCCTATCGTCAGCCTGTGAGATCGGCGATACACGATATTATCGTGAGGGGGCGGGGCTAACTTATTTGATTATTAACTTGATTATTTAGCCTACTCATTAATTTGCTTGTTTTATTAGCCTACTTCGTTTTATATACGAGAATCTTTTTTCTATTTTGCTAGCAAAGGTGGAGTGTTTAGTAATAGGATCAGGTTATTTCCTGGTATAGTGAAGTAAAACAAAGAGATCCTAATCCTTTTGTTTGTCAACGGGAAATTTACGGACACATTAGCCTATTCTCATGCCATTACATTCAGCATTTTGGTCTATTTCTGCACGAGATGAAAACACGTTTTAATAATTTCTTGGGTCAGAAAGAGTCGGAGTTTGCGATATGTGCCCCCCTGTGCGTTCTCTGCGCACTTCACATGCGCACTTCAGTAAGCACGAAGTACGCGGGTTAATGTGTTTTAAATGCCGATAGAAACAAGAGCAAGGGCCAAACGTCTAGCTGAGTCGATCGGTTTATACTTATACTTATGACTTGACTCTGATAAAGGAAACGTTTACATGACCACATGCATTGTCAAGTTTATTCAACATAATCAGGTTAAGAACGTCGTCGCATGTAAACGCGCTCAATCTCTGAAAGTGAAAGTAAAAACGGACTGCTTTCGGCATCTGCATTAACGCCGCGTTCCCTCAGAGACGACGATGATAACGGTAACTATAATAATACTATTTTAGTGATATTATTATTAATACTATTTAGTAATTGTATTGTTTTTAGTGTTAGTGTCATTAAACGTTTTGTTAATGTGTTACAGAAACAAATACTGACGAACAACGATGCCGTTTTCATCTTGGATCTGTAGGAAATTTAATTTTGCGTCTGTTAAAACGAGCACACTTGATAATTTGTGAATGGATCACCTTGCGATTGAATTTTGATGTGGGATGTTTTTTAGTCTGTTTTAAAAACATTCTCTAAGAGGAGTCCTCATTAGTGCGTGTGTTGTTGCAATTGTTGAGGTGATGTCGTTGTAAATTTAGGCAAGGCAAATTAATTGTAGTTCCTAATATTCATTTAATAACAATACTAGCTTTATAATAATAATAATAATAATAATAATAGGCCTAATAATAATAATTTAATACATTATGGTAAAACGAGCCAATTATCGTATTGATATCGTCAAAGGCATCTGCCATCGGCGATATGTCAGACTATCGTCGATACACGATACTATCGTCTATCGGCACAACCCTAATGGATACGATACCAGCTTCTCGAGTTCACACACAGCAATGAGCAAATGACACTCAATGACAGTTGTCATAAACATGCATAAAACTTCCTTCATATTATGCACACCCTTTCAAGTAAAGTGTTACCGGTATCATGACTGAACTGGATTTGTGTCTGTAATAATTAGGGTTGGGTATCGTTTGAATTTGAACGATTCTGATTCCGATTCCTTGTTTCGATTCCGGTTCCTAACGATTCTCGATTCCGATTCTTTTAAGAGGCAGGGTCAAAAAAGTTTAGCTAACCTTGCTAACCAACGGTCTTTCTGATGGAAATACTCCTTCTGTCACAAATACTTGTCATAAATTTTGCATTTTGCCGAGATTTCCTTAATTTTTAGAAAAGTGAAGCCACACTTTGGACCGCCGATGTAAGCTACTCATGTTCGACTCACGCGGTTATGCCAACACTTTCGGAAGACGCTTCTTCGTTGGTGTTGTTCAGCGGTTTCTTCTTCCGCTCGGCGGACTGTGAATATCGAAACTAGGAATCGAAATTTTAACTTTTGAACGATTCCGGGAAAAACGAAAAGTTAGTCCCGGTTCCAATCGATACTCGATTCTCGATACCCAACCCTAGTAATAATGCTGACTTATCTAATCACAAACTTTCTATTCGTATCTCTTTACAGTGTCCCGCAAACGCAAGAAGAAGAACTGGGAGGATGAAGATTTTTATGACAGCGATGACGACACATTCCTTGACCGGACGGGAGCGGTGGAGAAGAAGAGGAAGGAGCGCATGAAGAAGGCCGGAAAGATTCAGGAGCGTCCTGACACGTATGATTCGCTGGTAAAGAGTATTTCTTCTGTGATTATTATTATTATTACCCATGTCCGTTGTGTGCTGTACCTGGCATTGATGTAAGATCTTTCTTAGCTAGCCAAACTGGCCAAGGTTGAAAAAGAGCTGGCGGACACTGAGAAAAGGCTCAGTTCTTCTGGGAAAGGTGAGATGGTGAAAGTCTGTTTTTCCTCCATATTTGGTCATGTGTGAGGTTACACTTCCTGTTTGTTGTCCTCGTTCAGGAGGCTCCAGCTCTTCCACAGAGGATCCTCTGGATGCGTTCATGAGCGCAGTCCGGAGTGAGGTGGCTCTGGATGGGGTGGAGAGGAAGAAGCTTCATTTACACGTAGCTGAGCTGAAGAAGGAAGGTCAGAGACTGCGCAAGCTAGCGGATCTGGCTAAACCTACCCAGATGCCCTCATTACAGCCCGGCGGGTGAGCTGTGTTCCCTCCAGATTCGATACATATCACGATATGATATTATTGCGATACCGCAAGACATATGATAAAAGGTTAACAAAAAATGTACTGATGATTAAAATGCTAACTTTGATATTACATTGTGGGTTTAAATGAATAGGTTTGGACTTGGTTTTGTAACCCAAGGACAATAGTGACACCAGAATAAAAATATTCATGATATTGAAGCTGAAAATACCGAATTATTTTAAATGAATATGCATGCATTCTTTCACTGACTAGATATATTTAAAATAATGTTGGCCACTTACGGGTAACATAAGACATTTTGCATTATCAGGACCCACAAATATTCCCCCATTGCATTATTATACATTATAATTAACATTATTTATAATAGTTTAATGTAGTACTGACACTAAAACCATGAAAAAACATTCTCACATTAATTTTTATTTTGGGGGAACTATACACGATACATATTGTCATTATCCACTATACGTATTTTTTGTTTAAACGTTTGTTGAAAATATTACTTTTTTTACAGCAGAGTATACTTCTCAAAGTGATAATAACAATTAAAGATTAATTAAATTGTTAGTTTATTCATGTATGGGATTACCACTGTTTTTGTTAATACATTTCTATTATATCAAAACAAAAGAATCCAGAAAAATTACAACAGACCACACAGGATTTCTGGAGAAAATAGAAGGAAAACACATTTCAAAGGGCAGTAGTATTGTTCATTTTAATTAATAAAACCGTTAATACGGAAAAATTCAAACATAACATTTTTAATAGCATAACAAAAAACACGTAATTTGAGAAAAAAATAAAACTGATTTCATAGGGCCCTAAATGTGTGAATATTTTATTTTATTTTATATATATATATATATATATATATTTTTTTTTTATTATTATTATTTTTTTTTTTTTACAGTAGTCAGTCCACGGACTCAGAGAAACCGAAGAAGTTATCTCTACCTATGTTTGGAGCCATGAAAGGAGGGAATAAATTCAAACTGAAGACTGGAACAATAGGAGTGAGTCTTTCCATATGAAATAAAAAACAATAGATAGGCAATTACCTTAAAATGATTAAAATTAGTTAAATGTCTCTCTCTCACTATCTCTCTCTCTCTCCTAAATGAGCAGACGTTACCCCCAAAGCGAGCCAATCTGCCTCCTGAGCTCTTCAATATGAAGGAACTGCCCCCTGGTGGTGAGAAAGAGGAAGAAGAAGATGAGGAGGAGGAGGAGGAAGAAAACAACAAGACTGAGGCTGGTGTCACAGATGGTGTCGTAGAGGTTATTCAGTCTGCAGAGACGGCCAGCTCAGACAGCGCACACCACACTAATGGTTAGATCTTGACCAACTTCACTTCCTTCTGCCTTAACACTGGGTACTTAGGAATTTCCAAATTACTCATGCTAGATTCGCAGTTTTGAGTGTATAGTGTAATTCTATAACTGACCACAAGTAGGCAGTGTTATGCTACTCAAAATGAGTAAAATGTGTGTTAATTGATTTAGATTTGACTCAGCTAACACATTGGACAAAATCGAAGTAATCCATAGGTTCATAGCTAATATGCATTTTCTAAAATATTTCTATTTGTGTGTCTAGAGAAAGAAGAGCATGCGGACCAGCCTGCTAAGAAAGTTACGTTTCATGTAAAAGAAAAAAACAAGTCATCCCATCTTCCACAAAACAAAAGTGAAGGTAGAAAATAACACACGCTCTGTGGCGTAACTGTGAAGTTTCTTCCATTGGTCCATTGATTGCATTTGCATTTGGTGCTTCTAACTTCACCTTTAAGTTATCTGATCCACTAAATTATGATTCATATCCAGCAGAAGGAGTAGACCGTGATGTCTCAAATGATCAGAGTACAAAGACAAGCACTAAGAAGAAAGCGTTTGGCCCAAGCAGGGTGAGTCAACTCGAGACATAAGATAAGCATCCATAAAAGGTTTGTATCTCTACAGTGGCCCCAAAATATCAAACAAAGTGGCTTTTATTTCAAAGAAACGAACAGAAGAACACTTTTCAAGCCAAACTTTTTACAAATAAATATTAACTGGTATAAATTTAGACAAAAAGTATTTGGACATGTTCATTTTGTCAGACGAGATGTTCATGGTTAACAACATTATTAATTATATGGTCACTTTGCAAGCTAGAATAGCTTTTGAACTTTATATTCCAGAATCCTGGAAAAATAAATGTATCATGGTTTCAACTAAAATATTAAGAACAACTGTTTTGCTAAAAACAAGAAATGTTTCCTGAGCAGCAAATCATTAGCATAGTAATGATGCTGAAAATAAGGCTTTGATCACAGGAATAAATTACACTTTAAAATATATATTAATATAGAAAACAGTTTATGTGTGTGTGTATGTATATATATATATATATATATATATATATATTACGGATTTAACATGATCCCTGCTAGCTGAAACATCTGTGTGAACATTAATTGTGCAAATACTTTTTGGATCCACTGTATGGATGAATCAGAACTTGTAAAAACTGTCTGTAGCTTACAGTAGCTATGTTTGCATCCATTTTTATGCGCATTTTGGGATATCGTAAAAACATTTTTTTGGTTTGATCATTCTGAAATGCCAGAGTCAAAGTCTATCATCAGAATGATTTGCCATAATGATGTTCATAAACACCAGCATCTGAACGCAAGAGAACAGCGTTTTATTTTGCCGAGACGCAAGATGTTTATGATGGAGGAAAAGAGAGCCACAGTTTCTTCCCCGATTGCAGCAACTTCCATTTTTATTTCCCAAGAAGTGACCATTTTGTTCTCTTGAACACATGGGAAGGAAACGCTGCTCCAATTGTGTCCATAAGTTCAATTCACAACATTGGATTGAAAGTTGGTTTTCTTGTGCTCTGATATTTCCATATGTCTAGCCTCCCGTGACCATGTCCAAGGAGTATCCAGAGGACGACCCTGACTACTGCGTCTGGCTTCCTCCGTCAGGTACTAAGCTTCCCTTCTTCATCCCTGTAGACTGTGATATCATTAAGTCATATGAAATCACGAAAATCTCACTTTAATCTCAATTTACAGGCCAAACATTAGCTTTTTTGATCTAAGGACATTTCAAACACCGCTTTAGAGAGGATTAGAGACTTTGCATTGTGGGAAAACACAGTAACACCTGGCCAAAGAGTTTACTTTAAAGTCACATGGTTATTACAAGATAAGGTTATCTTTATTTCTTTAAAAAAAAATGTAAGTTCAGTTTCTACCAGGATCCGCTTTTATTCAGCAAGGACACTCACATAAAAAAAAAAAAAAAACCTTTGTGTGAATCCTTTCTTGTTGACAGAATACTAGAATAATATTTTATTTTATTTACATTTTCAGAATGTACATAGGAACAATTTCAGATTCAGAAAATCTAACATTTTTCTGTTAACATTCTTGATAAATGTCCCTAATGGATAGAAATAAGGATAACGCTATAAAGTTCATTAGTTAATGAATTGACTAACATTTAACGGTCCCACTTTATATTAACCCTTGTGCTGCATTAGATTTTTAACACCGTTGAGTGCATTAAGGACCAAAAATGGCCACATATTAAACATTGCCTAAAATATTATATATTATTATTATTTTCCACTTTTACCAAGTTAAATCTTTTAACCAGCATCAGTCCTCATCATAACTACCAAAAATGTATTCAATTTCAGGATTTTAACCCTTTAATTACCAGTTTTGTTTGCCAAACCATCGAGTTGTATAAGAGGAAAAAACACAAAAATTCAATTTTTTTCAATAAACTAAATGCAAAGAGAAAACTTTAGATTTGGATTATCACAGTCCCACTTTGCAAAAAATCCCACTTAGCGCATTAGAGACCAAAAATGGCCACCTATTAAACATTGCCTATTGCCTAAAATAAGGTGCATTTCCACCCATAGGGAATAAATATGTAGTGACGTCATCTGGTGGAATACACTATATAATGCAAATATAATGCTTTTGCTTCAAAATGAAAGGATGTTTGTGCAAAAATCATGTTTCATGTATCACTGACAGCCTCAGATTTAAACAACGTTTTAATGGGTTTCAATGGGCCATTTTTGGTCTTTATGGTGCTGAGTGTTACTATTTGATCTACACAGTGTGTGTTATACAAATTTTGCAAAATGGGATCACATTTTTTGCCAAATTTCATACCATTTGCATTAAAACAGCCAAAATGGTCAAAGAAATTAAACTGCAAAAGACCAAAAATGTCCCTAATGCAGCATAAGGGTTAAATGGCTTTAAGTACTATGTGCTTACGTTGAAAAATAAGTACAATGTACTTGTGCTCATGTTGTATTGGCAAACACTTTTTGCTTCAATTGAGGTGTGATCTGGGTAAGGTTAGGGACAGGTGTGGTGGTATGGGTAGGTTAAAGTGTAAGGGATGGGTCAGCTGTGTAATTACAGATGTAATTACATAAATTAGTTACAGCTGTAATTGCATGCTGGTATTTTAAAAATATAAGTACAATGTAAAAACATGTATGTACACAATAAGTCCATTGTATCAAATTATTCGTTTCAATGAAAGTACGGGACCCATTTAACTATTAATGAGCTATACATTTTTTTTTTTACAGCATTTATTAATCTTTGATCATCTTAGTTAATAAAAATACAGCTGTTCACTGTTAGTTCATGTTAGATCAGGTCCATTAATGGGATACTTTAGGATTTAGCATTAAGCTTTGTATTAGTATGTAAAACCTGTAGTATTTTCATATTACCGTGCTTTCCACCCTCGTATCCCTCGTATCGTTTTTGTCTGGAAAAAAATCCTCTGATGACGCAAAAATCATCATTTAGAATCAAAAATCATCATGTATATATATATATATATATATATATATATATTAGGGCTGTGCAAAAATTAATTGCGATTAATCGCATCCAAAATAAAAGTCTGTGTTTACATAATATATTTGTGTGTGCTGTATATAATTCTTTTGTATATATAAATACACACACATGCATGTATATATTTAAGAAAATGTGTTATTCATATATAAAATATTTATATTTATATAATATAGATTATGTATTTATAAATGTATACAGAATTTAAGCGCAAATAATTCTTAAATATATACATGCATGCATAGGTATTTATATATACAAAATAATTATATACAGCGCACACAAATATATTATGTAAACACAGACTTTTATTTTGGATGCGATTAACTTTTGCACAGCCCTAATATATATATATATATAACATGTATGTATATTGTATATGTTATATATATTTTGTACATATATAACCTTATTGTAAAGCAAATAAAGTCCTGTCCTACATTAGTTTGCTTTAAATTATGAAAGTTAAATGCATTGCAAATGCTATTTCATTTCTATGACTAGACATTTAAGACATGATTGTGTCTTGTGTGTGTGAACAGGTCAGACCGGCGACGGGCGGACGCATCTGAACGAGAAGTACGGATACTAAATCCAGAGAGTGAAGACTTCCTCACTAAAAGTGAATCAGCCCAACCGTTCATCTTAGTCATCTTAGATCATTTTCGTTGTGACTGGAGTGGCTCGGATGAGCTGAGATGTTTCTAGCACTTGGTAATGGAAACAGCTGAGTCTTGTGACTGACTTTCACTTCCCTTCGCCCAATTTTCATTCAACTGCAATCGTTTTCCACACATGCTTTGGGGCCCAAGTTGCCAAGTATAGTTTTGAAGTGGAGACTGCTTAAGGATCTGTTTTCATTGGCACTTACTGACTGGTTCCTCCGCACGCTAGCATAACAAAAAATGAATCGTTTCTCTGCTTTTCCAGTTGGAATATGTTGGTTTGGACATTGCATTTGCTTCGAATGCATCATGCCAGTCACTTATGTTTAATCACTGCTGTTGTTGACAAATCTCTCTCCACGGCTTGCTGTTCTGGGACGGTTTCGAGCTCGGTAAACACTCGATCCGCTGTTCTGGGTCACTCTCTGAGTAACGGCGGACTCCCTCTTCGGTTTGGCTCCGTATGGCGAGCGAGCGCTCCTGTTGGATGCGGTTCTGTCGAGAGAGAGCCGGCTTTACCAGCCATCTGGACACTTGCTTGGCATTTTAGGATTGGGAGCAAGCTGTTAATGAATCAGTCTGTGTGTGTGTGTGTGTGTGTGTATTCGCTTCTCTTGATATTAATGAAGAGTGACTCAGTGTTGGTGATGTGTTGGCGTGTCCAAGGAAGGATTAGGCCCCCCACGTTCGTTCGCTACTACGCGCTGGTCTCTCCCTCGGTTTATCCAACTCTTTTAATGCTCTCCATTGTTTGGAGAGCATGGTTATCGCATACAATATGTGTGTTTTGTTACGTATATTTTGTAAAATAAACAATTTTTCCTGTGTCTCACCAACATGGGGGCTTGTGTTGAATGTTTGTAAGTTGTAATCAAGTAAATGATCATCGTGATCAACTTTTCTGAGTGACCTTTTGTACACAATCTGCTATGATTAATAGTTTAAACATTTTTTTTAGCAAGTAAAAGGCCTTTTAGTTTGATTCTAAACGCGTGGTATTCACTTTTTTGGTCCGCAGCCACTGTGGCGAGTGGTTTTCCAGCTACTAAGCATTTTCACTGGCCACAAATTTGACATCAATACCATTGGGAAAGACTGCCATATACGTAGGTATTTTTAATAATATCTTAGAATTTGACAGCACGGGTTGCAAAAACTTAGTTAAGACTTTGTGAGCTTAGAATTATAAGGTTTTATCTCCGTTTAGGGTAGTTCTGAGATATTGGGCATCGAAGTTTTTACATCCCAGCTGGCAAACTGTTATGTAGTATAATCTTCTATTATAGCTTTACCTATTAATCTTTTTTTTTTTTACAAAAATAACACCACACAGGCATTAATAAACACCTAATGGATCAGATTATGTCTCAAACTCAATTTCGACCAAAAGTTATAATTCTAACCTTATAATTCTAAGCTCACGACTTGCCAACTAAGTTAGTCTAGAGGTAATCAGTCTTACTTTTCTGATTAAAATTAGACCACTCTTTTCTTTTATGTATCTGATTTTAAAAAGTTAGCACCAGTCTTGAAGACAAAAAAAAAAAAAGTAGATGACTGACTTTTAAGACTAGTCTAAGCAACCGGCCCCAGGTCTATTAGGCTGCTGTCTCTTTAAAACCTGACCCATTACACCATTTTTATTCTCAACTGTTTACATGAATACTCACCAAGACTGGCATTTTGACATTATTTTGAGTTATTATTCATCAATTAGCATGCTTAAACAGTCAAATACACACAATTTAATACTGAGAGGTGGCTTTATGTGCCTGCACTTCCTTGAGCACAAAATCCGTGAGAATGAGACAGTGCTATCGTATATCTAATCTGCAGAAAATGGCGTTTCAGATATTTTGGTGTCAAAATGTATAGAATAAATCAATATTTTTGACAACACTAAATTCATAACTAAGAAATAGAAATATACTAAAACTATAACTAAGAAATATATTTAAATTCTAACTCGCCAAAGTGGCTAGACGGAGTGACTTGGTTGCTCGCCACTGCTGAAATACACCCGCATTTAATGTCAAGAGCTGATTGTTAGTAATATTTCAAGATGAACACTTACTGGACGGAAGCAACTTAGGTTTACTTGATTATCCCGAAAAATCATGTTCAAATGTGAGTATCAAAGTTGATGCATCTTTTGTTTATTTGTGCGTTTTATTGAAGTAGTCTATAAGATCTCTTTGATTTAGTTCACACAATATCAGAATTGTATCTTACTTTTTTTTTTATAATTTTCAGCAACTACACCAAATTGCAAGTTTTGCTCAGTTTGGGCCTTAAATATATATTTTTTTCTTCCCCAGATTCTTATATATGAGCCATAAAAGCCTAATGTAGCATATATGATACTCCACATTTTGTTTTTGGATCATCAAAAAGTTTGTTAATTTTTTGATATGCCAGGCTTTACAGGGTTAATCTGTTCAAGGCATGTTCAGGCATGTCTTTAGTAAGACTCACTGGAAAACGATCAAGCACCACACCCCCCAAAATACTTTGATGAACTGTTTCAGTTCACATTTCTACAATATTATTAAAGGTTCAATAAAAGTTATGCTTGCTACAAAAAGATAATGTAAGTGCAAATAGAATCCATCACTTTTTACAGTTTTTGTTAACGCCATTTACTCTACGTGAAAATGGCAGTATTTTAAATAGTAGATGCCTAGTACAAATATTTGCACCTCCGTGTAGCGTAATATTATTATAAAACAGTAGCCTATGTAATATATTCAGTAGGCCTATATGATCTATTACTTCTATTACAGAAAATGAATATATATTTATTGAAATCTTAACCTGATGCTGTTTTATTGGGACATTACTTGTCTTAACCCTACACTTTAAACACTTTAGTCCCACTGCAAAATACATGTTAGGCGATTTATTTCCACGTTTTGTATATTTTCTCCTAGCTGATATGCGATGGGAAAAGAATGAGTTTGGAAAAGGTAGATTCAACCTCAGGTCAGTCGCATCGAAAGCATGACTACACCACAGCACAGTTCTCAATCAGACAATGCTAGGCGGAGTTAATGTAAATACAATCTGCAGGTTATTTGCACTTGGTAGAATTAAAGTAATTAACTTTCGACTCGACATTCTGGAGCAGAAATGCAATGTTTGTTAAAACACAATACATTTTCTGTAAAAAAAATGTGTGATTTGGGTTAAATTTGAGATATTAAACACATTTCAACCAGATAATTCGAGTAAGTGGAGTTGCTCCATGTTAACAGTGCTTTGTGGAAAGTCACGTCACACAAGCTTGTGCAGATACCGTGCAAAATTAAACCAGCGTGGTCATCAAACATTGCATGTGTGCACACAAATAAAATTAAAAACGAAACATTTCCTTAGGCCGTGCTGCTTAGAAACATATATCGCTGTATATAGGCAGACAAAGTTATAAACAATTTTATCACACAATATTTAAAGATTGTAGATTGTCTTTAAATGTTTATCCCTGTGGACCTTCAAGTCATGATAGTGCCATACACTATTGACTCCTTTTTGCAACTGCTTTAGATCACTTTGCACAAGGTTTCACAAATTGCTAATCAACTGAATGCATTCGAAATACTAAACGGAGTGTGTACATTCTGCTTATCCTACAGGAAACTGCGTTTGATAGGCATCAGATTGAGCCGTATTATTGTAGAGTATCTTCTGATCAGGCCGCACACACCCATCTTGATGTCTCGATTCCTGGCTCACTTCCTTCAGCCCCTCAGCGTAGCCGAGCACTGACGTCACTCTGGTTCCCCATACACACACACACACACACACAGCGTATTGCTCTGTTTGGGATCTGGCACGGATAGGCCTGTGGAATCAGCCCACGCTGAAATGAGAATGATTCTTTATGGTGGATATAAGGAACCTGCAATGTTGACAGACTTGCTTATTGCAACACACACATGCAAACACAGCAAAAAATGATGCAAACTGGTACTACACACAAACAACTAGGCGTTGAGCTTCGGCTGTGTGTGAATATGGTTCGTAGCACTGCTGTGTTTGAAATCGCCCCCTATGACCTCATTTACTATTTCCTACATTACTCCACTAATATAGTCCACTTGAAGGAGTGAACTCGTCGAAAACGTCCACTATGCACTACAAATGGCCGTCCGGTCAAATAGGGCCCTGTTAAAAAGGGGAAATGAAGCAGTGAATCAAGTTTACATGATTTACAAGACTATAATCAACAATTATATAAGAAACATGACAAATGTAAACATATATATATATAAAAAAAAAAACGTTATATATCTTTCGCCACCAGGGCGCCGCCATTGTGCATATTCTAACCAGTGATGCGCGGGTTGATCCGAAATGAGCGGGTGCCTGCGGTCACCCGCGGTTACCCGCAGTTACGGGTCATCCAAAAATGTTTTTAATGATATTCGGGTCGCGGTCGGTCGGGTCGTTTGAAAAAAAGATGCCAATTAAACATTTGTATATAGTACTAGACACAGTTTTTGATGAAATATACAGCCCTACACATTATTGGCTGAATAACTGGCACGAAGATAACACACGAGCTCAGTCTAAACAGTTCTCGGTTCTATACTAGTGATTCGAGAACCGCTGTCCCTGTGCGTTCGGTATACGCAGTATCAGCTGCTCGTGCTGATCACTTCTCTCAACAGTGGCAGCAACATGTCTCGGTTCAGTGAACTGTTGGAGTTACTGGAGTAAAATATAATTCAGGATATTGATTTATTTCGATTCGGAGGCGACTGTCAGGCATGTCTGAAAGTGAGTAACTTTAGTAACTTGTGGATCAGCACTGACGCAAGACGCCAGAACGATTCAGTTCGAGTGTACTGGTTCGACCGGTTCACTAAAAAGAACCGGTTCAAAAGAACGATTCGTTCACGAACCGGCCGTGTCTACGATGATCACTACAGTCTGCAGAGAGATGGAGGCGGCAAGAGAAAAGGTGAAGACTGGGGAGTGGAAGCTCCGCAAACACACAAATAGAAAGAGTAAAAGTGTGGGAGACATTTGCTGAAATAATGAAAGATGATGACCAAAGTGCTGGCTTTGCCTTTGTTATGTGTAGGCCTACGTCTTCTTGCGATGCTGTGTTGTTACACGTCTATATGGCCCAATAACGCTCCGATGAGCATTTACTACTTTAAAAAAATGCGGTCAGGAAGCGGGTTGAGTACAATGTTTTTTTTTTTTTTGCGGTCCGAGTTGCGGGCGGGTAGTTGAAAACGTCGGTCGGTTGCGGGTACATTGACCCGCGCATCACTGATTCTAACATGTGACGTCACAGGGTTGGTTGCTTCTGTTCCAGACAATAGCACTCTTTTAGTTTATCCTTAGCTAAAAACACTAAGTTCTTTCAAAAATATATTTGCTCATTAATGTATATTTATTTCGTTCAAGTAATAAAGTATTCTTGTGAGTGTATAATATGCCATTGAAAATACATAAGGGTAAGGGGTTCGCCATGTTGCCCCTCCATCTTGAAAGCACATTAGCCAAATGGGGACATACCCGTTAATTCAAGCTTCGCCTTTCGAGTTTACGTTTGAGTTAACGCTCATGGACGAGGTCGAACTGGAAGCCATGTTAATCTTGGACTACATTGGCCACCGTAGGAGTTAAAACGAAATCGGAATTGAGCGGAAACTAATATTCACTGGATGGTCATATAGCTTTTCACCGCTAGATGGGGGTAAAAATCACACAGTGTAGCTTTAAAGAGCCTCACCAAACATACTTTGCAATAAGAAAAAGCATTTCAAAATGAATTAACAAGACACAAACTGGGAAGAAACATTTATTCGCCTCATTTGAGGCATAGAGACAGAAAAGGACAACTTGTCACGTTGCAAGCATGTACTGTACTATATGTCCATATAGCTGTAATTTAAAAAATATCGTATTTGTTTCAGATAGATACACAACACCTAGGTGAAACTTATGCAACAACTATGAATAATTGTCTTTGTTGATCACCCGCCGGTTGGCCTAGCTTATTGACCCTTACGCGGGTTACAACTGCAGTTTACTGTACATTCAGGAAAAAGTATTAAAGTATGCCGCTAAGTACATTACATCCACCGTCAAAATCGTCAGAAGGATTGTTTCTGAAATACACTGCATGGATAGGAGTCGTGTTTTCCATATTTAAAACGAGTTCTGTCATTTTCTACACATCAGAAGAATAACACATAGGCTATGTTCGGAATAGCACACTAGCATATACAGGATGTTGTATTTCTGGAGAATACTACTGTATATCCCACCTAGAAGACATTTTGTTTTTTTAGAAATTAATTCATGCGAACAAACATTCCAAAATAAACGTATCTTTTGAAACATTTATTGCAAATATAATGTATCCTGTTTCACATTCTATTTTTTTTTTTTTTTGAAATAGTAAACCGTATACAGTGTGCTAGTATTTTATTCTGAACAACAACTGTGTGATAAGGGTGATGATTTAATCCCTGGGGTGTGTTCAATCAGTGTCAAAACATTCATAAACTAGATATTGATGATGGTAAAGTCATTGTATACTGAGTATGCTACGTAGTAAGGCGCATGTTTAATATATGACGTTGAAAGTTGTGTAGTTTCGCCCCCGTTCTTCACTTACTTTGGAATTGACATCAGATCACATGTGATTACTGACACGTTGAAGCTGAACAATGGCTTGGAATGTGTAGCCTGTGCTGTCATTATATCTGATTGTTAGTTTTCCGGTTTACCCTGGTTATAGAGCGAAAAGCTTTATTTTATTACAAACCGGTTTTATTAATTAAGGCCCATTCTGGCATCAAACTGATTGTCTCTTATTACATTTCCCTGTCTAAACAACCAACTGCCTTAAACCTAAATTGTCTTGCATGTTACCTTCAACACAACCATGTGGCCGAATCGACAAAGCGGCGACCGATCTCTGTTAAACCCATCACAGAAACGTATTGGTGTTTTAGATAGCGCAGTGGTCATGGCCTTGTCATTAAAATAAGTTCTAAGTGGGTTTCCTGAGAGTTAGAGAGGACGAGACGGCTAAAGGCGAAAGGTTGCGTCTCCTCGTTCCTCTCGTACATTCTGGCCCTGATCACATTTCCTGTTTTGTCCACAGGCCTTATCACGGGGCCTTTGTTCACACTAATATCCTGCAAAATAAAAGGCAATGCAAACATACATTGTCTTTATGTTGGGAATTTTTGGTCCACAAGTGATGTTTCGTCTCTGCAAAGGTCCAGTCGTGTCCCTCACGCACACGGAGGTTCCTCGGCGGGGATCAGGGGACTGCAGGGAGGAGCGCTGCTCAGAGGCCGGAAGGCGAAGATGGATGGATCGTAGGAGTATCGGGGAGCGTGACGGCCGCCGCTCAGGCTCTGTGAGGGAAACACATTAACAAGATAAAAAAGGTGAAGTGGGAAGTAACTGGGTTTGGATTAGTCAACTCAAGTCACCTTTAATTTCATAGCGTTTTATGCAACACGATTATTTCAAAGCAGCTTCATTATTCAGCTCAAGTCAGTTAAACGTACAGTATGCGATTTTTGGCCACCAGGGGTCACTTGTTTAAAATAATAACAAAAGACGTACTTTGATGACGTCGGGAAAGAGCGTGGGCTCACGGGAGTTGTTGTCGCTGTCAATGACAACCAGCTCAGCTCATGACATCATCGTTTCACAAAATATACGGATACACGGCATCTCTCTGTAGATTTAGCTTGTCAAGAAGCTTTAAAATAATGCAACCCCAATGTCATGCTTCTTCCGTCCCAAACCCTTCTCGGGTCATATTTTTCACCCGTACGTTTGAGCTTTACTGAGCTGGCTGTAGCAGCAGAACGTGCAGGCAAAGCGTAATCGTGGTCCATAACTATAATACAGACGAATAAATATTTATATTACGCTCCTTCAATGAATGACCTATTTTAGAACATTTTTCATATATACGGCGCACCGCTGGGTTTGCGTTAGCATCCACTGTGCTAAGGCTAAAGGGAATGTAGTGAGTGCGCGTCGCGGAGGTGAGGCGTTTATTTAGTAAGCATGAGCGCGCCGAAGCGGGCACGTAACTTACATTCGCAGCCTGACTCATATGAGTATTCAATGTGCGCGGCTCGCTAACAGCAACAGTTGGCTGTTTTGAATCAGTTTTGAATGAGACGACCCGGTTACTGTGAACGGGGAGCGCTTTATGCGCGAGCAGCACCGGGGACAGTCTGTTAAGAGTGAGCGGGCACGTGATTTACACACATAAAAATACTTACTACTTTTTTTTCCTCGTCATTTTCTTTGCTTTATTGGCGGTAGTCCAGTGTTCCCCTTTGTGTTTGGCGGTTTCGCCGGGTCCCGCAAGGAAGTTAGAGAAAATAGAGGAGTCAAAGGTTATATGACGCCATAGATGGGCGACGAAGCGGAAATAAAGAAACGTCCCGTGTCTTCGAATTAAACTATAAATTTCTCCGTATTTGAAAGTTGGGGGAAACTGTCGGGATAATGTAAGTAGTACACATCTAATAGAAATATATAACATAGATACAGTTATTTTTGCTATTTTTAAAGCGGAAAAAATACATATTGTGGCTTTAAGTGTTGGTGCACTTTTTTCCCAATAACTAGAATTCAACTCTTATGAAACGAGTTGAATTCAGCAACAAGCAGCTCTAGAGTCATTATTCAGTTGATTCAGTTCAAGTCCCCCTCTGTACGTTCGCGTTCAGAGTTTACATGACATAGAACTCATGTTTAAATCAAGCGACAACATTCTAATTCTAATTCCGCCGACCCGGAAAGTGTGAAAAACTGCAGTACATCGAAAATCCGCTAGAGGGAGATCCCAAAAAGGAGCAAATATCCACTGACCTCAAGTTAAAATGTCAATTTTCGCAATGTAAATTTACATGTTGATCTCATGGACTTTTATTGTATTTTTTTAGAGTGTCTAATCACTGTTAGAGGGGTGATTTTTTTTTATTTTTTTTATTGTATTTAGATATAAAATGTATGACAAATAAGAGAGTGGTTAACTTTGTCAGCTTGATTGACAGCTGACAACGGGCTGCGACGAGACGAGTGGAATTCCTGAAATTTGACGTCTCGGCCATGATCTGACACAACACATCATACCACCTCTGCATCCTTTCTGAACATTGCTATTGAAACATCTTTATATAACATGGGTTCCTCTACTATAAATACTACGCACTAACCTGCGACACTGTAAGACTAGGAGGACTTCGCTCCTTTTTTCCGGTAAGTGAAATTCCACTACTATTTCACATAGTTAGCACTAATTAGCATCAATGTTTGTGGGCCTCAGATAAGTTAGCGTCCGAGGTACTTTATCTATAATAGACCAACGCCACTTTTGCGTCATCGAAGGGTAACGCCCCCTTTTGGGGGAAAACACCTCTATACTGTCTATGGGAAAACAAACGGATTCCCATGAGGACAGAACTCGCACTAGATCTGCAAAGTTTCTTGATAGCAAAAATGGCACAAACTTAAAAAAGCTAACGTTACTGAATACGGGGTTACAGAGGTGTCCCTTTGAAATGGTCGAAAACTGGATTAATGACCCCGCACAGCGGCCAAATATGGACTATTCAGACATCTAACGATACCACTATCTCGTGGAATCACCAAGTAAGTAGCCTTTTTTTTTTCATTAACACTCACAGTATGACGAATGGATCATATTTAACTTGATTTAAGCTATTGACATAGTCTAATAAGGTAACGTTAGCTGCTAACAGCTTAGTCTTTCTAATAGCTAGTCGACAACAAAACTGTCAATAGCTTAAATCAAGTTAAATATGATCCAAGTGACATGGCCTCATCGTCTAGTAGTTTGTCATAGGCTACTGTGAGTGTGTAAATTGATAAATAAATAAAAAAGGCTACTTACTTGGTGATTCCACGAGATAGTGGTAACGTTAGATGTCTGAATAGTCCATATTTGGCCGCTGTGCGGGGTCATTAATCCAGTTTTCGACCTTTTCAAAGGGACACCTCTGTAACCCCGTATTCAGTAACGTTAGCTTCTTTAAGTTTGTGCCATTTTTGCTATCAAGAAACTTTGCAGATCTAGTGCAAGTTCTGTTCTCATGGGAATCCGTTTGTTTTCCGATAGACCGTATAGAGGTGTTTTCCCCCAAAAGGGGGCGTTACCCTTCGATGACGCAAAAGTGGCGTTGGTCTATCCCAAGATTTTCCAAGATGGCGCCGCCCATACACCCCCTAAACGGCCTCAAAAACGCTTCTTCAGAAAGTCTATGGGTGACGTCACAAATGCTTTGTCCATATTTTTTACAGTCTATGGTTGAGAAACGCTGTTGAAAGTGTCTCGAACCAGGCAGCACAACACACTAGTAGCCAATCAGCAGTAAGGGGGTGTGTCCACTCATAATGGGGGAGGAGAGAGAGTGAGATTTAAAGAAAGAGTGTAGAAAGAAGATGGCTGAGAGACATTACAAAAGAGAAATGGTCAGAGGAATATCACTGGGAAAAGAAGGGTTATGATCAGGCAAAAGCTTTAGGACTCGCGCTAATATTAGAAAAGCTTTCCAGCACTGGAAAGACCTAAGCGAGAAGGCCTGGAAAATTGTTTCTGCTCCATACGCGAGAAATATTGTTTTTAGTGGCTAGCAGCAGCGGACAAACAATGACACTCAAAGCTTACATACTCTTATGTACTGTGTGTTCATTTTTTGTTCTTCCTCGTCATTCGTTCCTCATCTTCGCTTTATTATTCGGTATGCATTATCTTGCTTTTCTTTTGAGAGAGACATCAACTCTCGTCTTTGCCCGAGCGTCATCACTATGAAACACCCCTTATGGAATTGGTCCTAGCTTTTGTTGTTTGACTGACTCCGCAATGTTACTACACTGTAAAAAAATATTGTTGGTTTAACTTAAAAAAGTAAGTAACCTGGTTGCCTTAAAATTTTAAGTTCATTGAACTGGAAAAAGTGAGTTAATACAATGAAGGAGATTAATTTAAACAATCAGAAACTCAAAATTATATGTTATCTGAACTAAATAAATTATTTAAGTTGATTTGACAAAAGAAAAAAATGTTGTGATAACTACACTGTAAAAAAATATTGTTGGTTTAACTTAAAAAAGTAAGTAACCTGGTTGCCTTAAAATTTTAAGTTGATCGAACTGGAAAAAGTGAGTTAATACAATGAAGTAGATTAATTTAACCATCAGAAACTCAAAATAACAAGTTATCTCAACTAAATAAATTATTATAAAGTTGATTTGACAAAAGAAAATATGTTGTGATAACAAATCTTGAAAATATTTTTTACAGTGTATAGGTCCCCAACCCGGCATTGATGCCGGTATCAATCCCGGGACGTGTTTGCGTTCACACAAAAGGCGTTCTGGCAATTTCCCGGGATCAACGCGCTATGTGAATAGGGCTTTTGTAACACATTATATGTGCACCACCATTTTCACAAATCCGTGTTTTTGGTGTTTACATGGAGCCTAATAGTATCGTTTTCAAAAACTTGCGACTTTCAAAAACAGTTTTCAGTTTTTAGTTGAAAACAGTGTTGTGTAAACATCCCCTTTTCTTTCAATATTCATCTGTCAAAATCTATCCAACTTTAAAAATGTTTTGTCATTGGCTAACATGACCAAACCTGAGTAAAACCAAATGAGCAAAAAAAAAAAAAAAAAACTGAAAACCCCAGAGAAAGGAGGGGTTCCTGTCCTGGGGAATGAAAGAAGTAGTTAATATGTTTCACATATGGTCAGCTAAATCTAGCCTGGCTTAAAATGCACAACTCAAAAAGATATACATGCGTATACCACAAGGTTAAGCTCTTTTCCTGTCAAATAGCCACTCTGTTTGAGGTTTTCAAATCCATCAAGAGGCCAGATCAACACTTCATCAAAATAAAAGGAGTAGGCCTCTGGGTTTCATTGGATGCTACATGATCCCATTTACTTTCTACAAGCAGCTGTTTTCCATGAATCTCCCTCCAGGAAACAATGTTCTCAGTTTAAACAATTTAAACTGGTTTCATCCATGTATTGCTAACAGCAAATGACAAACCATCAAATACTATTGTAAGTTGTTAAGAGTTCAAGTAAGTAGACAAGGCTTTTACAAAAAACGTGAAAATTTGGCTCATTAACAATTATGTCTGCCAACATTAAAAAGCCGAATCAAGAGCTGTATCATATATTTATAGCCTTTTTGTAAATGTGTTTTTGTGTATCGCAGTGTTGTAGTCGAGACCACCTCACTCGAGTCCGAGTCGACACCGAGACCAGAGAGAGTCGAGTCCGAGTCAAGACCGAGTCCACAGAGAGTCGAGTCCGAGTCGAGACCGAGATCAGTGAGGGTTGATTACCTTATTTACTTTTATTTACTTAGAGAAATCCTTTTTTTTTGTTACTGAATTTACTTAGAGTTTAAAAAATATGATCAGTTTAGGGTAAAAAGGCCACATAGTAGGTGGTGTTAAAAGTAATTTTATTACAATTTGTCATGCGCAGTTGCGCACTAGAAAATCACTGGGTGTGTCAATCAATTTAGAGAAATATTTTATTAACATACATTAATAATCATGAAAAATATTTTTAATTGAACTCGAGTGGACTCGGGAATAAGTCCGAGTCCTAAAAAAAAAAATGTTCGAGTACAAGTCAATTCCGAGTCCAAATGGACACGAGTCCATGACAAGACCAAAGACCATTAAAATATGGTCTCGAGACCGAGTCCGAGACGAGTCCGAGTCTCGAGTACTACAACACTGTTGTATCGTATTATTGTAACAGGTACAGTGTACCCTAAGTTATCTCATATTGTTATTTATATTGTAGTTATTTTTTAGTCAATTTACGTATAAATGTATTTTCTTGTATGTATTGTAATGCTTTTTCTACATCATGGCTACAGATGAAAAATAGCCTTCTGGCTAATTCTGGCTTTTTTAACCATGTTTGTTCATGCGTATTATGAAATTGCACTGTCCCCTTTTAAATAAACCAATAAATCAAATCTCTTGATTTCAACTGGCCTTTAGACTGACAAATACCTGCAACTGTAGGAAGAGTAATTACATTATGACAAACAGCTCAGGCTTTTGTTTCCTGGTACATTTTACGAGTGCATAATGCTTTTAAAACCTTTTACACACCATACTGCATATACATGGGAAAGAATTAACCCCTCAACCTCTAACATCTGTCTTGTCAACAAGTTTGGACCATCTAGGCGATGAGACCGTTTGTCTTCTCTGGCTTCATCCTTCTTTGGTTTCATTTCTTTCTTGTTTCTGAGCCCTCATTGTCTTTGGTCTTGTCCCAGACCTCAAACCCCCATGATGATTTTCTCTCTTCCCTAACTGGCCCCCTGATGGCCGCTTCCCACTCCATCTCGAGCTTTACCTGGAGCGTGGCCAGCAGAGACGGGGCCCGGAGATAAAGCCAGGGGCCCGACCACTATATTGGGAGAAGCAGGGAAAACCAAAACCAAATACATTTTCACACACTTGAGAAACTCTAAACTAAAAATGAGTGCGTATGGCTTAAGGGTTTAACAGAAAAGGGATAATAGTATTCGAGTAATAGTATTAGTATCGATGTAATCGCGACGATCGGATCAACCGGATATTGTAACCATTTTTGCTAAATCAACACTGTTATTAAACTGAACTGAATCTACATTGAGCTGAATGATGACAATTAAGGGATGGACATGGTCAGAAACAATGCTCGTGGGATTTAAACGAATTTAAATGCAGTTAAAATAACTCCAATATCATACACTATATTTGTTCAAGCTCTAATATAATATGTTAAAAATAAATATTAAATATGAGTCAGCGATCAAGGACAAAAGGTAAAGAGAGAGTGGGAAGAGCGAAAGGAAGTTGAAAACGACAACAAGGCGGAGGAGTGAAACGAAGAACATCTTTCTCTCTGACTATAGATCCTGCAACAGCCGGCACTCTATAAATGGAAAATGACTTCATCCTAACACACACACACACTTCCTTCTCCCTCTCCCTTTTCATCCCTTGCTCCTCTCCTCACCTCTTTCCATTAATCTAATAAAATGGTCATCCAATCTCCTGCAGATGAAATGGAGGTTTCTGGATGTTCATTGGAGAGAAAGACCATTATGCATCAAATTCTTTTGCAGTCTACAAAAGGAAAACCTGCATTTGTGGAAGCTTGAAGTTTTTTTGCACTGCAAAATTTGAAGACTCAATATATAGGACGTTTTGGTCACTTTAGATTAGGATCTAATTCTCACTATTAACTAATTATTAACTATGATTTTTGCCTCAATAAACTCGTAATTACTGCTTATTAATAGTTAATAGGAACTTCTGACAGTAGTTATATGAACTATGAAATCGTTCTCTGCATGGTGTGAAAACCCATTAGAATATGGTTGAGGTCCCTCTTTTAATTGACTTTTTAAGTCAATAGAATTTTTTTTTTACCCATTGGTGTAACGTGGTCATTGTGCTGCTTGATTATTATATTAATATACTGTGGTAAAGCACATCTGATACATACATTTCAAAGGCCTCTAAATAATCAATATGATCAAAATATTGCCTATGTACACATTCTGATTTTTGTTTATAAAGTAAACATAAGAATAACTTTGATATCGTTAGTAATGTTTTGGTTTACTTGATTGTCCATGCATAATTTTATATAAATGTTAAAACGTAAGTATCAAGTAAAATATAAGATGAAATCTAAAAAAATCTATATGGATAATCAAGTAATCCGAAGTTGCTTCAGTCCAGTAAGTTTATCGTGAAATATTACTAACGATATCAAAGTTATTCTTATGTTTACTTGATAAAATCAGTTATGATCAGCATGCTTGGAGGAATGTTTATCTCAATTGTAATGCATTTAAAAGATGAGTGACAACTAATTTTTGTAAGTATCTAATTGATTTACATCAAGCTATCAAAATTTCATGTAACCTTTTGGCCATATAAATATCAGCAACTGTGCCATATTGCATATTTTTACTCAGTTTAGGACTTTTTTTCTCCTTAAGAATGACCCCCATATTATAAATATATATATATATATATATATATATATATGGCACTTGATAGTGAATATGAAGGTCATTCTTGAGGAGCAACACTGGCAGGAAAAGTGTTAATATAGTTCATGTGTTGAACTCTACATCTAGAAAATAAAATGGTTTGATTATTTTTGCTATCTAATCCAATGACATTCAACCTTAAGTATCTAAATACTTTTTTGGGGTCACTTGTTTGCAAGCTGTAGAATTTTTTCTTTTCTGTCATTTTTAAAATAGTTAATTTCCTGCAAATAGTAAATTATTTGTAAATGTTTTTGTAATCCTGGTCTTGGATCGGGTCAATACAGTAGAATTTTATGATACAGTCAAAAAATTCTGATGTATCAAATATGATTTTTTTTTTTTTTTATCAAAAGTCAAATATTACTTTTTTATTATTAATTTGTCTAAAAGTTTAATAAACTGTTCCATAAAAAAAAAAACTATTACAAAAATTAAAAACTATTCATTTATTTGTATAATTCTGACCTTCACAGGGTTAAATGTTCCCGAAAGGTGTTCCAAAGGATCTGGTGAGGGGCCCCTGCTGCGAGATGAGACAGATTGTGTTTGTAATTCCAGCGGGCTGGTCTGCAGCCAGTGTTTCCCATGAGTGTTCCAGTTCCTGTGCCATGCAAGCGGGAGTCACTGTTCTGCAGTCCAAAAGGTGGCGAGCTCCTGACGACGTCAAACAATGGCATCGCTCAGCTCGGGCCTTCTGGACCAGCCCGAGGAGTGCCAAAGGCCCAGCCGGGGGTCCAGGGCCATGGCTATGGGGGTCAGCGGGTGCGCTTCGGCCCGGCTCCAGCGCACCGTGCTCACGGGTCAGGCTTTTAGAAACCAATCCAAACACTCGCATTCAAAGCATTCATGCTACTCTATTGACCCGATCCAAGACCAGGATCACAAAAACAGTTATAAATAATTTACTATTTGCAGAAAACTAACTATTTGAAAAATGCCAGAAAAGAAACAATTCTTCAGCTTGCAAACAAATTGTGTAAACAGTGACCCCAAAAAGTATTTAGATACTTAAGGTTGAATGTCACTGGATTAGATAGCAAAAATATCAAAGCATTTTATTTTCTAGATGTCCAACACATTAACCATATTAACGCTTTATATATGAAGAGTTCAGATGCAAAAGCCTCTAAGTGCCATTTGAAATTTTCTTCTAGAATGGTCATTTTTATCAAGCTTGTATATTTAAGTTCAGTGATTTCACTTAAATGGCAATGATAATTACCTATTAATTGTTATTTAAGTGAAATTACTGAACTTAAATATACAAGTTTGATAAAAATCATCATTAAAGAAGAACATTTCAAATGGCATTTAGAGGCTTTTGCATCTGAACTCTTCATATATATATATATATGGCCCTCTAAATACTACATTAACACTTTCCCTGCCAGTCCTTTTATATATATCATACTGATTTTAGTGTGTAACATTTTTTGGTGGTGCAATAAATATAATTTGAAATAACTAAACCGTTTATTTTATAATATTGTATTTTTAACATGAATGTATAACCTGGGGACATCAAAGTTCCCCTAATTGAAGAATCACCCATATATATATATATATATATAAAAGCACTGGCAGGGAAAGCGTTAATATAGTTCATGTGCCCATCAACACCTTCACAGTCCTATTGCTCGTCCTGGGTCGACATTTCATTCAGTAACATCTGCCAGTTTTTATTTTATATGCTGTAATGTTTGATGATTGTGTTATTTTACATAAGCAATGCTTCTATCGCTTGTTTCTGCTTCTTCTTAACATGTGTTTTGATCAGGAGATTCTGTTCTCTTTCAGAAGATGTGTAATAGCGCCCCCTACACGTATGCAGTGAAAACACTGATGGCGGGCAAAGAGTTAAAGTGTTCTGTAAGTGTGCTTTTATTTTGGGGGGGTTTGGTTTTTTTGGGTCACTGTATGAAAAAACAGTTTGTTTGTTTTCTTTAGAAACACTCACCCGAATCTTGATAGTCCTCGTTTTCCCTCCGCAGTTCTTTTTTAGAAGCATTTTCTGAAGCAAAAAAGGAGAAAATATGGTTAAAAGGAATGACATAAGTCACACATGTTGTCTATGCACAGCCAAACTCCACACAGCAGCTTCAACACACACCGAGGAACGAGTTTCCATATTGTCAGAGTAAACATTTACTGCTTTCTTGCCCTTGAGCTGTTCTGGAAGATCCCTGGAAGCTCTGGGCCACTGTGGCTACCCAAACTAATGAGTCTTTTATGTAACAGAGCAAAACATCCTGTGGGCCGCCCTTTCAGGACAAACGTGGAACTCAGTTTAGCACTAACAGTAGAGCTCTGGGTAAAGAAAGCAAACAGAGGCAGCGTGACTCGATAGCAGAGGTTAACTCGGATTCTTTTCAGGACAAAGTCTAAGAGGTTCATTTACAGTGCTTCTGCTTAAAGATTACAATACATTTATGATTTAAAAGAACGACAGGCAATGATAAAGGCCAAAATTAAAATTCACCATTATTTCAAACCATGTGTGTGTGGAACAAAAGAAAAGGAGATGTTTAGAAGAATGTGCAGACTGCACAGGGACCGAGACTGTGAAGAACAAACACTCACAAACGTGAAGTTCATAAAAAGTCACCTAAATGACTCAAGTGCCATAATCCGAGTCTTTAAAGGAGTAGTTCACTTTTTAAAAAAAAAACTTTTGTTGATAATTTACCCTCCCCCCTATGTCATCCAAGATGTCCATGTCTTTCTTTCTTCAATCGAAAAGAAATTAAGGTTTTTATAGGTATAGAAATAGGTATAATGCCCCTTTTTACAATATGTAAACAACAACTCTTCCTCTTCTCAAAAGGGACTGCGTGTTCCCGGGGGCGGGGTTTATGTTAATGTTAGGGTTGGTGATGTCACTAACCCGGGAATAATGTCGTGTAGTCCCTTCCAGACGTTTATTGTAGTCCTTAAAAAAATGATTTCTTTAAAAGCAAATACATTCCTTTGAGCATTGTAACTTTGCAGATGTTGTTTATGCTCAAACAGCAACTAAAGTTAGAAAAGTGAAATCATAACCAACCACCCCTTTAACTTAGAGAGCATTAAAAAAACATTAAGGACAGGGTTTTTCACTACAGTAAAAACAACCAGCTTCAAAGTTTATATATTGTAATAAATTCATGGCAAAAACTGATAGGCAATGACAGATTAATGCACATTTCAAGCAGTCTCTTTGTTCTACAAGGGAAACTCCCAGGAATTGTCAAATTTGTCCAGATCTGCGTGACTGGAAGGCAGCCATGGTTAAAGCCCGGGTGAAGTCTGAAATGAGCTCGGCCTCGTTTCAAAGTTCCCAAAAAAGGAGATATGTTTGTCAAGCTCACTCAACCATGGAGGGCAGCATTTAGACATCTGTCAGACAGACCATTCATTGCACTTGAACAATAGCTGGACCCCTGCGTTTGAGATTTAAGCAACTGCATATGTGCAGGAATGGATTAGTTGGTAAGGATTAATAATGAAAAACTAACACGACTGTCGCCCAAATGTGGCTCAACATATTAACATAACAGCTGCCGTATATAATTAAATGCGTGATGCATAGTAGAGTGAGGCTGGATATGGAGCAATAATGACGACTTATTCATTTGTGTACGTTTGATTTAAAGTGCTTTTTCGGATATTACCTTTCATGCAGTGTGTGATATAGCTGTTGGTGAATGTAAAATGTCTAGCAAAGTTTTAATAATCAAAGCGCACGACAAATAACCGTATGGTCTCCTATAAGAAATAACCGATTCTGAAATGCCGTAACGAGTCGCCAGCAATTCCAGTCTCACTTCCTGTTACAAACCTAAGTAACAATGTGAGAAATTTGCATAAAGCCAGCCTGTGGTCTTCATTGGCTGCCTGCAAATGTCTGCTTTGGCCCAACCCAAACACTGTAGTTGTAGCTGAGACTGGAAGAGTTTGGTTTGTGTTGTCAACATGTTGAGAAATGCTGTTTTCAGCGCTACGAATCTTGTGCTTCAACAACATGAGGACTCGCACAACTGTTACTGTTCGTTTCGCTGTGTATCAAGCTCTCAGGGAAGCCTCTGGAGCCAAAATTGAGCAGGTAGACCAATCAAAACGTGGCGCAGTGGATAAGACACATGCCTTTGGTGTGAGAGACCCGGGTTCGAACCCACTGTGAGACACCAATGTGTCCCTGAGCAAGACACTTAACCCCTAGTTGCTCCAGAGGCGTGCGACCTCTGACATACTGTATATAGCAATTGTAAGGCCGTGTGTCCACCAAAGCGTTTTTAGCCAGCTGAAAACGCTAGACGCTCTGCTGAAGACGCCGTGCTTTGGGCGCTTGAGAGCGTTTTGGCAGCGCAGCGTTTTTTCCGTTGAGACGTTTCGTTGCTATGATACAGAATATCCGCAGCAGTTGAATGTTGTGACAGTTGGTCGGTGTGGTATTAGTCCCGCCCCTCCTCCACTGTGATTGGACAGCTGGGTAAAACGTGATGAGTGTTGCGTTTTATCCAAAGTTGAACATTTTTCAACTCCTAGCGACCAGTAAAAACGCTGGGCACTCGGTGCTTCAGCGTGAAAAAAACGCTCATGGCGTTTAAAAAACGCGGTGCTCCCATTGTAAACAATTGAAAACATACGCCAGGCGCATGGAAAAACGCTTTGGTGGACACACAGCCTAAGTCGCAAGCGTCAGCTAAAGGAATAAATGTAAATGTAAAACAGACTGGGCCTTTTGACCAATCAGAGCAGAGCAGGCTCACAGAAAAGAAGGGTTCAGAGTAGGGGTGTAACGGTACACAAAAATCACGGTTCGGTACGAACCTCGGTTTTAAAGTCACGGTTCGGTACGTTTTCGATACAGCAAAAAGAAAGAAATGCCAGAGAAATGTCCTATTTGTTTAAAGAAAAAATATTTTTAAATAAATGTGAGTTTTCCTAGATCTTGAAACTTTCAGGTTTATAAATGGGGGTCATCTTTGAAGGATGAACAAATAATGTTTTGGTCATCACATTAAAAATAACATTTAAATATATATTTATTTATATAATATTTAATTTTGAAGTGCTGGAAAAAGATGTGTGAAGTACTTGAAAGCATTTCCAGCCAAACTGGTTTCAGTTAGTGTTACTATATTAAATCCATGGTGAATGTTGCTGGTCTGTGGACGTAAAGACTAGTTTATTCACGGCACAATGTTTCTCCTGGTTTCCATGACAGCGCTGTTTGATCTAATAGAGATCTACGGTTAATAACGGAGAAATGTGAATGCATCTCACTAGATCTCGCAGCGATGTTATTACCTCAGTGGCGAATTCAAATGTGTTCTTTACCGGATCTCTTAGCGCGGTGTGGTAACAGTGTCGCTTGATCGAGATCGGCTCGCGCTGCACAGATGTTGCTGGTCCGAACTGATAAACGATTCGTGAAGCAGATAATCCGTGAAGCACATAATGAGTAGCGCAGTTTCATTCTGCTTTCATTACATTTGCCATTTGATGTTGCACAACGTTGTGTTGGCCACGTCAGCGCGAATTTTGCCGGCAGGAAAAATGGTCCAAGCAATCGTTCGGTTTGTATGCGTACCGAACCGGAAGCCTCGAACCGAAATGGTTCAATACGAATACATGTACCGTTACACCCCTAGTTCAGAGAGACTGAATCTTCAACTAAAGCCCCTTTCACATAGCCTGACTTCGTCATACTCATAATCTTGTCGGAATATGAGTCTGAAACTGCTCCGTAGGGCTTTTATTATGAGGCGTGTCTAAACCGAACCAGTAAAAAAAAAAACTCTGCACTCAATTGGATAGTCGGTAAATCTACAACCAATCAGGGATGCGTTTCCCGAAAGCATCGTTAGCCAACTATGGTCGCAAGTTGGTCGCAATTTCCATTGAACTCTATTGGTAACGACGGAACTTTCGACCATAGTTGGCTAACGATGCTTTCGGGAAACGCACCCCAGAGCAACGCAGTAAGTGAACTACTTTGCATACAGTTGTCAACTACAAAACTTACTTTAGAAGTTAAATAACGAGTGTTGCTTCTTTTACTTGGTCCTCCATGAGTGCGACCAAAGGAGAAACCACAACGACCACAGGCTTTTCATTACGTCCCATCTTCTTAGCGACCGTCAGAGCCAGCTGATAAGTTACACTTTTCCCGAATCATGTAGGAAGGACGGCAAGAATACCTTTCTGATCGACAAATGCCTGAATTGCAGTTTTCTGTTCGTCTATTAAAATTAATGCGCTGTCGATTTATTTCACAACAGACGTGACAGCAGAATCTATACATCTCAATTCCCCAGCTGCAGTCATCTCTGAGGGAAACCAGTTAAGCGCTCGTTGATAACGTGATGATTACGTCCCTGAAGATGAAGATCACCTCTCCATCATCGTATAAAGCCCGCCCTGGCAATTTGATTGGCCTGAACGTTATGTGCCTGATCATAATTACTCCTCAATGGATCGAGTCCAGACCGAACTTCCCGACCAAAAAATGTTGTGGGCGGAGTTCGGGCGGGCATCTTTCACACAGAGATTCCGGAAAATACACAGATAATGTGACCCAGCATTTGTCCCGGGATTGTTTGATTTCGGTTCATTCACACTGCCAGTGATTTGCCGGGATCTGTGAGTGCGTTCACACACAACCCGTAAAGATCCCGGAAAGACACATGACGTCAGGATGAGACGTGTAACGTAGTCGTTGAAAATACGTACACACGCATACCGTTCCAAAAAGCTGGTGAACGATCTCAGCTTCAGCACGGATAGAGAGGAGCTCCTGGTCTCTGCTTCGTTCCAGTTTGCAGACATTTGTTCGTCCTTTCTTTGTTGATGACGAACACAAACTTTCTTCAAAGAGCAGCAGAGTCGCGCGATGGCACGAGCGTCATCACTATGACACACCCCTTACGGCATTGGTCCTGGCTTTTGTTCACAACCCGACATCGATGCCAGTTTCAATCCCGGGTCGTGTTTGCGTTCACACAGAAGGCGTTCTGGCAATTTCCCGCCAATTTCCCGGGATCAACGCGCTGTGTGAAAGGGTCTTAACAGTTTTCGGACTCTTTGAGAAATGAGGTAGTGTGCAATGTATATTATGAGAAAATGAAAGGGGGGTTTTTATCTTGAATGTGTGTAGAACTATTTTAAGAGACTGAAAATGAAATGGGAACCTTTAAAATAGCATGTGGGGCACTTCAACATGAGCTTTTAGCAGTTAACTTGAGTAGTCTCCCACATTTTGTTTTTCCATCACCACTTCCCATTCCACTTGACCGAGCACACACACACACACACAGTGGACTCCAACACTCATATGGTCCTCACAGCCCTCTTCTCTCTCTGTACTCGTCTTTTTGCTCTTTACTTCTCCACATGTCCTTTGTTTTAACCTGGCACAATCTGGCCTGTATTTGAACACCTGAAGACAAAACTACTAGGTTAAAACGACTAGGTTTTTTCCCACTTTGCCGTTTCATTCACTCACAGATTCAGGCTTTTGTTCAGAGTGAGGGAGGGGGGCTGACATCTGTCATCCTCTCTTTCTCTCTGGAGGTGGCGGGCACAAAGCCCTGGAGCACATGGACTTGTCTGAGTAAGTGTAGTTTCGTGCATTTGTCTTGCATTGTTTTCAAATTCAGCCATTAAGTTGACAAGGTCTGTTGGTCTGGAACGAAGAGATTTTACACCAGAAAGTATTCTAAGAGGTTCTTTGGGGGGAAATATAGTAACTTCACTTTTCAGAGACTAAGGTTTTTTTGCTGGCTATAGAAAGTCTGTTCAGTTCCCCTCAAGTTTGCACAGGTGTCCTAGGCTAGCATAGTAACCACAGTTTCCCGTACTTTTTGAGAACCAGAAAGTTTCCAAATACTTTTGTCCTAATTGAACAATACCCATTTTGTCCTTTAAAACCTAACCTTTTGGGATTGTTTTACTTGATAAGTGAGCTCTCACATTTTTTTCTTCCAAGTAAATTCCACTTGTTTCTAGTGCAATGATATTCACACGTTTTTAAGTGTTACTTAAGTTTCAGGCCACTGTTTAAATGGCTGTGAGTAATATAAAGACTGCATTGATACAGTGATACAATGGTGCATCTGATCATGGACACAATGGCTTTTAAAAAAAGCAGAAGACAATGATGAAAACCAAAAATTCAAAGAAGAAAGACCAAAAAGGGGACCAAAAAATTCTGTTCTTGTTGACTGTGATTTTGATTTTAATGCTTTCCTGGATGTATAAACTAGTTGGTCCTGAAACAAAAGCCCTATATCAATCAATTAAATGGTAGGGTTAGGGGTTTCTTCTACATTCTTATCTACTCATCATATTTCCCTCTGATTTGAAGGGAATGTTAAGCATAGGGTTAAGACTACAGTTGTTGGATAGGTCGAACCATAGATGCTGATGTCCTCCCTTGCAAAACCACCCAAGTTCATTCTTAGAAGGAGTGTCTCTTACCTGCTGCATTTTCTCCAGGTCTAGACTGGGGCGACCAGGTTCTCCTGTGTAATTGGGCCGGTGGCGCCAGTAAGGCATGGAAGGTTGTTCAAAGTGGCTGAGAATGATGGGCCGGACAGGGAGGCGGGCCGGCGTGTGTGAAGGCTTGAGCGCTCGAGGAGGAGAGGAGCTGAAGAGGACAGGACTGGGAGAGGTGGCGCTCAAGCGGGTCCCGGTCGACGGTTCGTTCGGACCACACAGGTCCTTCACCTCCTCGTCACTGGAGGCGCTGCTCATGTCTCCATGTCTGTGCCACTTCCGGCCCCCCTCGGCTCCCGGGGCTCCTGCGATGCGCTCCAGCTCCTCTTCTGAACTGTGGCGGTCCAGGGTCGGGTCAAGGAGTAAACGGAGACGGCGTAAGTGGGCCGGAGAGAGAATGCCCTGGTTGTGCTGTTGACTGGTGGCTAGAGGAGTCAAGGCACAATTCCGCCGGCGCTCTGGAAAGGGGCGAAATATAGCAGAAGGTAATCAATCAGCAGAGCCCTTTTCTTCATACAGGGACAATCCAACACAGGCTCAGTGGAGAAACTTTCCTATGGCAAAGTTTTTGCAAAACACGTACCAATACGTACATATCACTGCAGGTTTCTAAAAGAAATAAACTCTAGAGGCAGTAACACAGCTAACACTTCACCTCTGGAACAGACTGATCTCATGAAGTAGCGTGTGTATGACACGCCAATTCGTATTTCCATTTTTGGCGTGCTATCAAGACGCATAATCGCTTTTCAGCGCGTTTATGAACGCCGTTGACTTAACGTTATTACTGTATATATAAATATATGACTTACCTCAACCCTGTCCCTTAACCTAACCGTCACTGGGGTTAATGGCATTTATGACTGTTCCCTTACCATCCTAGGAAAAAAAAAAAGATCGCTTCCCAGATGTAGATGAACATTTTGCTTCGTTTCGTGCTGACATTTGGCGGCGTGTACAGACACGCGGAATCACTCAGACGTTAATGGCGTAGACATACACGCGGATAGCTCAAAATGCGTAGAGATAACACGCCACTTGGTTGCGTGTATATTTACGCAAAAGTCATGATGTCATGTTGTCTGGAAAGATGAACGTCTATTTAAGAAGAAATGTGAAATTATTTTTGGAGCTTTCTAGACTGAGAAAAGCCAGAAAAAGTATTTTTGGCTCATGTGGATGAAAGACAACAACTCCCAGAATGCACTTGCTTTGCTGCCCAAGGAGGCAGCAAAAGGCCTAGTTTTTTTTTTTAAATGTAGTGACTCCCGGATGAAGGCTTGTATGCTGAAACGCATCGGAGTGTTTTTATAGTGTTGATTATGACCAAGCCATAGAAATAAAGGCTTTTTAATTTTTCTAAAGAGAGTGCCTTGGATGTTCCTGTTGATTTTTATATGTTTTTTTATATTGACTTTTATATGTGAATTACGTGATATAAAGTCAGAATTGCGAGATATTAAGTCAGAATTGAGATATTAAGTCAGAATTGCGTGATATAAAGTCAGAATTGCGTGATATAAAGTCAGAATTGCGATATATTAAGTCAGAAATGAGATATAAAGTCAGAATTGCGTGATATAAAGTCAGAATTGCGTGATATAAAGTCAGAATTGCGAGATATAAAGTCAGAATTGAGATATTAAGTCAGAATTGCGTGATATAAAGTCAGAATTGCGTGATATAAAGTCAGAATTGCGAGATATAAAGTCGCAATTGTGTGTTAAAAAATCAGAAATGCGAGATATAAACTATTCTGAGGGGGAAAAAGGTTAGCCTTTTTTCCCCTTAGAATTGGCCTGATAACTTGCAATTGCGAGTTTATATTTCACAATTCTGAGAAAAGATGTCAGAATTTCGACATATAAACTCGCAATTATGTGTTGATTATGACCAAGCCCTAGAAATAAAGGCTTTTTAATTTTTCTAAACAGAGTGTCTTGGATGTTCCTGTTGATTTTTATATGTTTTTTTCCAATCCAAAGAGCACCTCAAACTTATTTACTTGAGTCCAGGAAGCTTCTCTACAGACATTTGTTTTATATAGGCATATGCATGTCGAGAAATTCTCTAAAAATACACACCTCTGTCGATCTGTGCCAACTCTTGGTTTTCACCTTCTGAGTCTTCACTCTCCCCCCCTTCCTCACTGCCATGGTAGGAAATCTGTTTCAAAAGCAAAGCAAAGGTCAGACAAACTTGAATCGCCATGATACAAACAACTAAACTCAGACATTCATGTCCCACAGCTCACACAAACAAATGGAAAGGGTTATTCATGCATCTGTATTGGAATACAAGTCTTGCTTATTATTTTGCTATCACAACAAGAACAAGACCAGTGACTAACACTAGCGCAACTTCTAAGGAAACCTTCTATACCAAAGAAGTATAGGGAGGGATAAACTTATGCTGTAAGTGCTGAATGTTTCTTGCAAACAAACCAACCTAAACAAATTTACTAAGAAACTCCTAATGAAAATGTGCATGGCGATCCCATGCAAAAGTTGCCCTCATTATGCAAGTGTGTTATGGGTGGTTGCCAGACGTCGCTATGTGGTTCCTAATGTGTTCAGAGTTGTTTTTATCAAGTTGTCCTGCGGTTTCTTGCATGTTACAATTGGCCCCAGTGATAAAAGCCCAAATCTCCATGAGAATCTGTTCATTAGATGTGCAGGTCTATAGGACTTTTAGCCCATTGAAAATCTTAAAATTGAAAAGTAATAGTCAATAATCTGCATGATTCATTTCACACATGGCACAAATAATGTTTGATGTGTTTAAAACCCAGCTCAAATCTCTTACCAAAGTATGCGCAATAATATTTACACTAACGATTCACAGATTCACACCTTAACTGAGATAAGAGAAGGTGTGATTAGATTATGTGGTAAAGCAGAAAAGATGTGCTCACTTGCCAAGTTTCAATTTAACTTCAGCGTATGCATTTCTTTGTTTCCTTGTGTGAGTAAAGATACGAAAGTGTGAAAAGAAGAAACAGAGTGTGAGGTTAAGAGAAGTAAAAACAAGAGGCACACCCAATATTCCACAACACCAATTGCTGTGAAACTTTAGCTATGTCCCAAGTGTGTTGGTTCATTTAGACAAGATTATTTTAAGAGCAAACCGGTTTCGAAGTCTATCAGAGAAAGAAAGTATGGAACAGGGATAAAACCCAACAGATTGCACCAGTAAGGAGTTAAGTAACACAGTGCATGGTAATTACCTTGTCCAAGCCCAGCTAACCAGCTGCCATCTGCTCTCAAGTACACACACACACACAGCCCACTTCTCTTCTCATCTCTTTCGCCTTTCACTAAGCAAACAGTGAGAGAAACTGAATGACTCAAATGTGTCACTCTTTCTCACAGGCACTGGGATCTCACGGCAGCTCAGGGCCCCCAGAAGAGCCATTTCCACTCGCTGAAATCCAGTCTCCCTCCAATCTCAAAGCCACCACAAATTACCATTCCTCTCCACCAGAACCCCTGCCAGACAGTGTCTCCGGCTGTACAAAGACAGGCAATTTTCTTTTAATATTGGAATGTAGTATTTGGAAACTTCTGCCTATTACACGTTTCATTCTGGGGTGTTTCACAAGATTCAGGGGTAATAATAATAAGCGATTTATGAGAAACACTGTTTAAAGTGGACCGGACAGAGCACCATAACACTTAAGCCATTCAGCAGTAGGGGGTGTGTCGTGGTTATGCAGTAGAAATGTGAAAAAGATTAAGAGAAAAAAAAAATGGGCTGTTGGGTTCCATTTTGCCAAAAATACCCATAATGCACTTTTGAATTTGACACCACCCCCTTGTTGAGCCGACAGTAGTTTAATTTGTAGTTTTAACTAAAAGACCTAGAACAGTCAAAATCGTGTGATGCAAAATGATGCAGTTGGTGTCATCCAAAAACTATGGAAGCTTGTTTCCGCCACAGAATAAAAAATAAAAAAGGTTTTGCAACTTTTTATCTCACAATTCTGACTTTTTTTCTCACAATTGCGAGTTTACATCTTGCAATTTTATTTCTCAGAATTGCGTTTTATAAAGTCAGAATTGCGCGATATAAAGTCAGAATTGCGAGATATAAAGTCAGAATTGCGAGATACAAAGTCAGAATTGAGATATAAAGTCAGAATTGCGCGATATAAAGTCAGAATTGAGAGATAAAGTCAGAATTGAGAGATAATGTCAGAATTGTGAGATATAAAGTCAGAATTGAGACATTAAGTCAGAATTGCGTGATATAAAGTCATAATTGCGAGATATAAAGTCGCAATTGTGTGTTAAAAAGTCAGAAATGCATGATATTGTGAGTCAGAATTGTGAGATATAAACTATTCTGAGGGTGAAAAAAATTAGCCTTTTTTCCCCTTAGAATTGGCCTGATAACTTGCAATTGCGAGTTTATATTTCACAATTCTGAGAAAAGATGTCAGAATTTCGACATATAAACTCGCAATTATGTGTTATAAAGTCATAATTGCGAGATGTAAACTCGCAATTGTGAGAAAAAAAGTCAGAATTGTGAGATAAAAAGTCGCAATTCTGACTTTATATCTTGCAATTCTGACTTCATATCTCGCAATTCTGAGATAAAAAGTTGCAATATTTATTTTATTTTATTTTTATTCAGTGGCGGAAACAAGCTTCCATAGAAAACTTTTGCTGACAAATAAACAGGAAAATATGGAGCAGGTAACACGTACAAATTGTTAGTTTACCGCTATTGTAACAATGCAAGCAAAGCTGGTTGAAAATTTGGCGAACCTATCCTTTACAAACTGGAGCTCAATGTGCACTAATATTTCTATTTGACATAAAAACTGAGAACTAGCTGAGAATATAAAACTGTCCAAACTAGGAAACAAGTTTCCAGCAAAACACAATTTGAATCCCCTTTAAGTTTTTAAATCAATTTGGCTACTCCAAAAATGTATACTTGGTTAGGACTACAACTTCAAGGGCCTATGATAAAAGTGATGGAAACAACGCCATTCCCTCAAACAATTTTAAACTAACACTGAGGTGCGTATTGTCAACACAATTGCTGTATGGCTCGTACACATTTATATTATCTATGACGTCCATTCAACCTGTAAATATTGATAAATAAACCTTGACATTGTGCTCTCGAGTCACTCTGACAGCGTTTACTTTGAGATATGTTACATTACTGAATGGTACAGTAAAAGTGTTAATTAATGTCTCGGTTATGTAAAGCTGTTTTACCATACCAATAAAGCAAATACGACTAGGAACTAAAAGTCATAGCTAACGTGTGCCTTTACGATGCACACTGGCCTTTTTATGTCGTAGCTCTGTCAAGTAGGCAGAGGGTGAAACAATGCCAACGCTACAAGCCCTGAACAACATGCTGGCAAGTGACCTTGACTTAATGGTGACAGCCAATCAATAGACCCTCAGTGTCATTATACATCCAGCCTCGTTCAAACTCACTTCAGTGTTGAGAGAAAACACCACTGATACCAAGTTGACTTCTGCATGGCACTGAAAAAGCTCTGCAGACACAAACGCTGCTGAAAAGGGAAACAGCAGTTCCAGTAGTACACAACAGGAAAAACAGGTCCTATGTACACTGATGGGCCAACATGGTCACAGGTGAAGTGAATATCATTGAAAATCTCCAAACAAGGACACATTTTAAGCTCTGGGTAGATTAGTCAATCAGTTCTAATAATCAACATGTTGGATGCAGGAGAAATGAGCAAGATCTGAGTGACTTTGACAAGGGCCAAATTGTTATGGCGAGGCGACTGGATCCGAGTATCTCTGAAACGGGTGTTGAGCGCCCAAGGCTCATTGACGCACAAGGACAACAAAGGCTGTCTGGTCTGAGCCAATAGAAGATCTACTGTGGCACAAGTCACACACGATTTTAATGATGCTTATGGAAGGAATGTGCACTCCGCTGCATATGGACCAATCAGAGTGCCTTATGACCCCGGTCCACAGTCGAAACTGAGTCAGAACTGGACCTTGGAGCAGTCAAAGGTCGCCTGATCAGACGGGTCCTGTTTTCTTTTGCGTCACGTACACCGTTTTCCTGGGGAAGAGGTGCACTGTGGAAACGGCAGCAAGCCTGTGGAGGGAGTGTGAAGCTCTGGACAATGTTCTTCTGAGAAACCCTGGGATCCGGCCATTCATGGACGTAAATTTGACACGTGCCACCAACTACCTAAACACTGTTGCAGGCCAAGTACAGCCCTTCATGCCAATGGTGTGTTCACAGGTGGAAGTGTCCTCTTTCAGCAGGATGATCACCCTGTCACAATGCACACCTTATTCAAGAATGGTTTAAAGCACGTTGACGTTGAACTGCGTGCGACTGCTCCTCCCAGTCTGCGCGTTTGTATGGAGGAGATTCTTGTGTGTGATTGGTTTACTAACGAGGTAATTAACAAAACGGCAGAAAAGAGACGAGCACCCAAAGCGTATTCAGAAAGCTCGTAATGCTGGGTATAAAAGTAGACGTTTGTTATCAGCGGACATTGACCGTGAGATGGATGGGACGAACATGCGCCATCGGGCAGAAAGAACAAGTGGTAAGAACCAATCAGCATGTTCAGTGCACAAGTCCCACCCCGAAAGTTCCCGAACTCTGAAAAAGTACTACCTCGCCAGCAGGGGTAAATTTTTACCCGAAACTTAATTTAGACCCTGATTCCTGTGGTGTAAACACACCGAGTACCACCCCAACGTTCCTGGTTCCTGGGGAAAGTTCCTGCGGTGGAAACACGGCTTATGTAACTTTTTCTACCTTTATAAGACCCTTGAGATGGTACATCGACTTACAATAGGTTGAATGACAGGTCTACCATAGCCTGACGTGGTCTGTATCACTTTTACTGGCACTCTGTAACTTCGTGGTGCGGGTAGGAACCCGAGCATAAAAAGAACTACAAAATTCGACTGCTTTACGGCATACGTCCCTTCCCCCGACTTCCTCAAAGTCTGACGCGAGAGCCCAACGAGCATTTTTTTTTGTACCTCAACCACAACGTTATTGTTGTCATGGCCGAAGCAGCAACTTACCCGAAGAAGGTAAAGGTTTTGTCGGAGGATTTTAGGAAGAGAAAACGGGAGAGTGATAAAATCAAAGCACGGACGAGGATCAATATTGGTCCAGCATTCGCTCGCTGGCGCGAGTTAAAGGAGGAGGAGGGATGCCCGACCGATGCTGACCTGGCCGTCATTCTGTTGGACTGGTAAGTAAAGTTAACTTATATGTCTTGCATACTATCTCTATTTTTTATACTTTTTTGTCTGCCTGACCATGTTACAGAAGATATCTGGTCCTCCTTTTATTTTCATGAACAGACTGATCTCATAAAGTAGCGTGTGTATGACACGCCAATTCGTATTTCCATTTTTGGCGTGCTATTAAGACGCATAATCGCTTTTCAGCGTGTTTATGAACGGCGTTGACTTAACGTTATTACTGTATATATAAATATATGACTTACCTCAACCCCGTCCCTAAACCTAACCGTCACTGGGGTTAATGGCATTTATGACTGGACATTTGACGGCGTGTACTGAAATGCGGAATCACTCGGACGTTAATGGCGACATAGACACATACACGCGGATGCACGCAGATAGCTCAAAATGCGTAGAGATAACACGCAACTTGACTCGAAAGTGGCGTGTATGTTTATGCAAAAGTCATGATGTCATGTTGTCATGAATCAAGTAATGCTAGTAGAGTAGCGAATTATCAATCAAGTAAATTAGCCCATAGTCTAAACATGTAGATAGTTTGAAAGGAGGAAGATTAAGTCTTCCTAACTTCAGAGTTGTTCTATGTATACTTGATTGTGTTGTTTCAGATGATTGTTAGCTACAGAGCCAAACAGGATTCTTGTCGCTATTTTAATTATGAATGCACGCCTGGTGTAACCATGACAGATTTAACGACAGTAGTAGAAGACAATACTGTTTCACAACTGTAGGGGGACCCCGAGAGCAAAATGTCAAAAGTTACCGAATGCTGCTGTAAGGAAAATAATGAAGAGTTCAAGGTGTTGCTCAGGCCTCTAAACTCCCCAGATCTCAAACTAATCGAGCATCTCTGGACCAACAAGTTTGGTCCGCAGCGAAGGATCTGCAGCTAATGTCTTGGAAACTTTCAGGAGTCTGTAGAGGTCCTTACCTTGGCGGGTTGGCGCCGTTTTGACAGCACCAACAGCATATCTGAGAGGTGGTCATAATGTTTTGGCCAATTGGTGTATATGTTACTGCCAGTCTGTTCAACTCTTATGTTCATTGATGGCATAGAGATAATGTATTGTATGGTAAAAGACAATTGACTTATTATTTTGGCTAGTACTGGAACACAAACACACACACTGCTGAGTGACTGGACTAAATTCGGCAGCACAGCATGAGGCCTGTTACCCAGGAAACCATCCCCAGATGGGATGACAGCATCTTCACATGAGATTATTCCATGCATGTGTTTAAGTGAAGATATGTTGACAGAGCTATTGTCAAAATCATCAGCATCAGGGTCAAATTACCCATCAAGCTATTCACTATGGTTTTGGACCGAAATGAAAGCACAGCCTGTTTTTCCTCGAATAATTGTTTAGGCAGTATCTTCCCTTACGCTTATTAAAAAAAAAAAAAAAGTGGTTCAAAGCAGTGCTCACATACCACTGTAGATAGTCATCAACATTTTTCTCATACTCTGACTATGTTTTTGAAAACCTTTAAATGCTATTCATAGTATGCTTTTCAATTGCAGTTACAAAAGAGGTGTCAATGAAACGCTCTCAAATTAAAGCATTAAAGGGTTAGTTCACCCAAAAATAAAAATTCTGTTAGTATTTACTCACCCTCATGTTGTTCCAACCCCGTAAGACCTTCGTTCATCTTCGCAACACAAATTAAGATATTTAAGATATTAAGATCGCTCCTGCATACAGTCCATAG